ATCGTCTTCGTCATTTGTTCGTTTTATTGACATTTTGTGGCCTATCGGACGCTCGGCAGTTGTAGCAAAAATATAAAGACGTGTTTGCCGAAGATTTTTTCAGACAGGAAAATAGTAATAGAGAAACTTCTGACCAAGTACGGGAAAACTGCTATAATAAGTCTTTGCTAGCTATACAAGATATAGTTATAAGTATAGGAGGGAATCTTCTTAGTCAATACGGCTTGCCAACGCCGACAGCTGGTGGGGAACCAATAAATAGGGAGTGTGTATCCGAAAAAAATTACGACCCTGAGGAGTTAGCAGATATAGGGCTAAATGGCTGTTCAAATATGACGTCAGAACAGCGCCAAATATTTGATAGAGTATGCTGTAGTGTAGAAAGTTCTTTAGGAGAAATATTGTTTTTAGATGCACCTGGTGAAACAGGTAAAACGTTCCTCACCAAAGTTATCTTGGCTCAAATAAGGAGCCAAAACAAAATTGCCCTTGAGGTGGCCTCCTCAGGAATTGCAGCCACTTTATTACCAGGAGGAAAAACTGCAAATAAAACATTTAAAATACCAATTGACTTGGAGCGCACAGAAAACCCTGTTTGCAACATCTCTCACAATAGTGATAAAGTTATGGAAGCTGTACATAGAACGTTGCGAGATATACGACAAAATGACCGACCGATGGGCTTAATGGTGCTATTCTGTGGAGACTTTAGGCAGACACTCCCTATAATACCCAGAGGAACGAGGGCCGATGAAATAGGTGCATGTTTAAAGAGCTCTTTTTTATGGCGTAGTATCATATCATCCAATTTGAGCTTTAATATGTGAGCATATTTGGGAGGTGACGCAAACGCGCAGGTCTTCAAATTTACTACTTCAAATTGGTAATGGTACATACACGACTCAAAACGGTAGTAAAGTAACTTTAGTCGAGAGCCTGTGTTCTTCTGTTGCCTCACAGCAAGAACTCATTTCTTCTGTATACGGAGATCCATCAGAGATCTCGAATCATGATTCTGCTTGGCTATGCCAACGAGCTACATTGGCACCTCGCAATGACCAAGCAGCAGCAATCAATTCTCAAATATTGGTACATGTTTCTGGAGAAAGTAGGGAATATTCATCTATTAACACGGTTTTGGAAGAAGGAGATGCCACCCACTATCCACTAGAGTTTTTAGACTCTCTAATAACACCAGGTGTTCCAGCACACAAAATTTATTTAAAAGTTGGTACTCCACCAATCATTCTACTCAGAAATTTAAGTCCTCCAAAAGTTTGTAATGGTACACGGCTGAGAGAAACAAGTCTCCAACGCAATAAATGTGCAATTTCCTGTAAGGGTCTGTTACCCCATGACCATACTTTTGATTGTTTTTCACACGGCGGACTCTATGTTTCTCTATCACGTGTTAGCAAGCCAAACAACCATTTTGTATATGCTCCGGGTAATTCCACCGCTAATATAGTATATAGGGAAGCATTAACGTAATCAGCTATACCAATATTACTAAATAAATATTGTATACTACAGTCAGGATCTTAAATAACAAAAAAAAAAATCTTTCTTGAGTGGAGTTTATATGTGTATAGCCTACTGTTATCAAAACGATGTTGTTTTGTTTTCGACAACCACGCGAACGAAGTCGCGGGCACAGCTAGTCTTTTTTATAGTTCCATGCCCTGTGATATCTAAATTATACATATAAATAACATAATAACTATTTCTTTACCGATTATTCAAATAAATCGTGATAAAATCATTTTTTTATGTGATTGATTGGCAAACGAGCTTACATAGATTACCTGATGGTAAGCAAACAGCGCCGTTGATCAACAACCGCAACAACAGAGGAGTAACGACTGCGGTGTCGTTTTTTTGGGATTAGGGATTTAGGGGTCCAGGAGGTCCAATCAATCCAGGTTTGGGGGAGTCAAAAGATTGGACCTCCGGTAACCTCACTCACTCAGCAAAACATAACGCTGTGGTTGTTTCCCGCCAGTTTTCTGTGAAGCCGTTGTATCAATCCGATCGAGGCGGCCCATTCATACGGAGCAAGGCTCTTACATTTTACTTAATCTCTTAACATCGGAACTGTTGTTTGTTATTGAGTGGGTGAGGAGGATACCTACCGGTGTCCGCTTAGAGTTTGAGTAATGGTGAGGCCACGAGGCGTTGACGTCAAAAAGAAATTTGATGTCCGCTTAAAGAAAAGGCCTTGGAATCATTGGATGACATTTCATAAAACATAAAACTGATACAGAGTGGTTCAGGCTTACCGGACACAGGGTGTTTTGCCGGTGTTACACAATGGCCCACATTCGTTGTTATCTAACCAGACATCCTAGTGTGCGTCCGTTGCTGCGCTGTGTGCAGCATTCGCAAGAGCGGCCCGAGAGCAGATTAAATTGTAAAATTTAATCGATTGCGTATGTTTCATGGGAATATGTTCGATGAGGAAAATGAAAATAGCTAATAGCTCTATCAGCTACATCATTTAAAAACTTTATAGGATTTTGATGAAACCTAATTAAATATTCAACGGCGATTTTATGCTAAAAATTGTTAAATTATAATAAGTATGTAATTAATATTTAATTGTATTTGACCTAGTATCTCTGTAAATGGCCTATCAACCATTCGACACTATATTTATAGACAGTATTAATTTCATTTAACTAATAGTAACAGTAAGTCTGAATTTTTTGGAAATACCAAATTTTACATGAACTGGTACCGTAACTTAAAATTGCTACATTATATAACACGCATCTCGTAGGATAAAATAAGCCAGTGTCTATTCCTTATTATTTGTAAAAGTATTATGCAACCTATCTTACTATTAAAGATATTTTATGAACAAGAAATTTTAAAAACCCAAGGAAATCCAATTCGGGTAAAAGCCAACCGCATGCATCCGGTACTGGTACTTACAAGTAAGCACATGTAGTAATCCTGAATATTGCGTTAGGTTGAACACGCATAAGTTTTACGTAAGTACATAAGTCCAATTTTATTTTGATTTCTTTTGATTATTTTAAGTTGTATGACTCGATATGATATGTGATACATTAGTTCGGTAATTATATTTTCCTATGTTCCTGTTTGTGTGTGGGCCGTAGTTTAATTTGTTTCGTTTTGTTTATTGCACTATCCTACAACAACAAAAACTATATGGTGGGATATAGTCCCACCATATCTATAGTTTTGTGTGTGCAGATAAAAATAAAAGCAAGTGGGAGAGTAATCCACAGACTTTGAGTGTTCGTAAAACAGTTGTGGAACAGTCGCACTTAAAGCGGATGTACATCTATTTGATAAATCAACTTAATAAGTATGAGGCTATACAACAAGCATTGTTGCTGTGTAAACCTATCATAATGAAACTATGATTATTTTTTTTATTAAAACTTAAGAAATATAAAAAGGCTATATTGCCTCATATTGTGTAACTCACAGCTTATAAAGGCGTAGTACATTGCACACTGAGCAATGTGTTTAAACATTACATATACAATTGTTATGTTGACAATTTGGCTAGGAAACAGGGCGAAACGCAAACAGTAAGTACATATGTCTGTCATCAAACAAAATTATACCTTATACAAATGACACAAAGTCAAAAGTTGACACGTTAGTAAAGTTGCAAAAACATTTTGCCAAGACTGGTTTAGTACTACACAGCTATTTTTACATTTAATGACAAAGAGTGACAGTTTCGCATGAAATTGAATAATTAATCTTTGAGAAATTTTCATCACTGCTCTTTAGTGCAATAGCCATAGCATACAGAGCACTGCAATAGAAACATTTCTACTGAGCCACTTACGTAGGAAAGGTAATATAGTTTAATATTGCAGACAAATTACCAGATGGTAAGCAATCGGCGCCACCCATCGACACCTGTAACACCAAAGGATTTATTACAATTACCTATCATCAGCCTTTAAGTGCCCACTGCTGAGCAAAGGCCTCTTCTCATACGGAGAAGCATAAATATATCTATATATATATACCTACTGTGTAAATTAATCTGATATTGATCATATTTATAGTTATATTATGAAGTCTAACAGTAATAAGGGGTGAGGATACTTTGTCGTGTTATTGCATAGTCCAGAATCTGGCGCTTGGTAACCCAAAGCGATAAGGATACATCAGGACCTACTCATCTAGTTCCAATCTTAATAGTTTAGAACCCTGGAGTTGCTCGTGCAAGCACAATAATGTAACGCGGCCCCAGCTCGGGAGGGGAAGTATCGGGGTAGTTTTTACTCGATAAGAATGTGACGGAGCGTCACATTCTTATCTCTTGCCCCACCTCAAAAAGCAGTTGTTTAGCAACATTATTATAAGTCATACTTTAAAAAATTGCGACCGGCACATATAGAGTAACTACAACTCATCAACATTATAGATATGTAGCAAATCTGTTACTCAAACCACTAATAACGATCGATAGACTAGGGTTTTTCTGCAATACATATAGGAAAATTGAAATTATTTTATACATAGTTGTGTAAGCCTATTTTTATTCGTTACCCCATAGGTACTTGGGTTTTCTCCTGTGTCACCGAGGCCTGGAACAACAGTTTGTGATGGTTTGTGTACCACAAAAAAGTTGTCGAAGGAATCGAACCCGCACCAGGTTGCTCAACAGTCAGCAACGTCTTATTATGCAGTCAAGTGTTTTATTATAAAAGGTATTTTAAGGATTTAGACCCGACGTGGAGTAGTAGGATAAGTACGCATTTTTTAATCTACTCAGTCTAAGCTACATTCTTACATTTACGAATTATTTAATCGTTATACTTAGGGCGTGGGTTCGAAAAGTGGCCTGGAAATTATAAATGTAACTTTTTCCGAGTTACATGTACTTTCTATGATTATTTAGACACCACTGACGTACGGTGAATGTAAAACATCGTGATGAAACCTGGACTTATGCCTAATTACTAATTATAAGTTTGAAATTGCCAACCCGTATTGCGTGGTGATTAATGCTGAAGCCTTCTCCGTTTGAGAAGAGGCCTTTGCTCAGCAGTGGGCACTTATATGCTTATGATGATGATGATGATGATGATGATGATGATGAATACTTGATGGAAATATTATTAACTGATCTGATCTTAGAGTTCAAAACAACGTATGCGTTTGCACTTGTAAGATGCGAAATAAATATAAGGTTTATACAATTTTAGATTTATGTAATTTACTCTCTATAAGTCACTCTCACAGTAAGTTGGTACTTCACGAAAAAAACAGATCATACTTAACAAGCTTTTTTTCAGCGGGGAAATCATCAAAATACTTCTCCCGCCTTGGTGTAGCGAAAGGAGTGTCAGACTCTTACTGACTTAAAATCACCCCGTTGCTTGTCCTGCACAGGGCCACAGAATATTATATGTGTATATATATAATATAAATAGCACCTGTGCCCACAAACTCCGCAGGCAAAGTAACAAGCTAAGGGCAAGAACTGCTTGGACTCGTCGAAACCTGCTTAAAACGCGTAAAAAATGGTTTTACGATACAGTACATTCAGACTAACTTTTCAGTAAATTGACATTACGTGTGTTTACGTCATCCTATGAAAAGAAGGAAAATAAAATACCATTATATATAAACAAAGCGATGTAATTAAATCAGTTATAGGTTGTCACTCAACGAAGAAACACCATAGAGCCATTGCTTTCATAAAATTTATGTGTTATTAGTTTGCTGAAAAAACTACATTATTTTAAGTCATAATGGCGACATTTGGGATTATTTTATTAGTGGTAAATATTTTATTATTAAAAATAAAAAAAATCAATAGAAAACAATTTAAATTACTTACTAAACATGGTTGCATTTAAAATTAGAATATTATAGGTGTTCCTCAATTGTGTAATAGATTCGCTTATTTATATCTGATATCCAAGAATTTTACACTAGTAAGTAAATTTTATTGATTTCAGTTTAAATAATAAGTAAAATTGTTTACAGGTACAGATTTCTCTCATGATAACCAGCAATGCCACACCGTGGGGCGGTAAGTCGGCATAACTGTCTTTTAAGTTTAAGAATATATGGGAACAAAAGAGATTCATTTTATATTAAAATTTCTTTCAGTAAACTCGGGTATTGATGTTCCCGAGGAATGTAAAGGACAAGGTTTCTGTACCGTCAGACCTCCAGGCTACGATAAAATCGAAGAGGAACTTAACCATATCCTTCCCAAACAAATGATTGTGAGTTTCATAACTTTTATACTATGCTCTATATATTTTAGCAAATTCCTTATTTAAAAAAATTGGTAGATAAGCTGGTATTATGGAATTGGTGCCTACCCATGAATTAGTTACAAGTGCCTTGAACTATTGAGAAGTTGGAGATAGAGAGAATTGAACCTCAGGTAACCTCATCACTCACACAGCGAAATACAACGCAAAAATGTAATGTTTCGCGCTGGGATTTTTACGAGGCTTTGGTAACAGTCAGTCCCGTTCAAGCCGAAGCAAGGCATCATATATAAAAAAACATAAAACCTACGTATCGATTACACTTTATCTCAGCGTTAATTTGAAAGGATTGTAATATTGAACAAATAATTTACAGGATTTTCACGCGAGATCCAGTGAACCTACAAATTTCAGACCTGAAGACGATGACGATAACTGCCCAACCATAGTTACGGTAAGAATAACATCTCTTATACTCAACTTGTTTTTACTAATCAATTTTGAATATATGACATAAATTTCACATATGGGTGGTAAAGTAAGGTATTAGGTATGTACCTAACACCTTTTATTTCCCTAAAGGATCTGCAGAAGTGCATACACATTTATTGTACTTTATCCATTCATTGCTCTTTTTTACTTTAGGGTATGGTTATCATATAAAAAGATGCACCCATTGATACACTAGGCCAGAAATTGAAACGAAATGCTTAGCAGTCCCGCTTGCAGCCAGTGGAGTTACAAAAGTTTAATGTATTAGATACACGTTAATGAAAAACTAATCTTACGTTTTTACGTTACAGTCGAAATCAGTTTACCTGTACGACAACAACGATGAAGAACCAGACATCATCGTGCAGACCAAGTTTATTCCCCAAATTGTCACACAAGTTAATTGCGCGTGAGTATATTGCTGATAGAAATAAGCCGTAGGCTAAATTATCGAAGTAATAAATAAATACTTTTCATCTCAAATGCATGAAACAAAAATACTTACGTGAATATACATTATATCGTTCATGAGTAGGTTACCATTATAAAAAGTTATCAAAAATAAAACAAATATACTTAGTTTTCGAATTAATTTTATTATTCTATTACAGATGGAGTCGCATGGAAAATGGTCAAGAATGCTTCAAAAACTTGGGACTAAGTCCGTTCGGTATGAAGTCCAGTTGCAGGGAGCATTCAGCAACACGGTCTTTACTAGTTTACGATACTCGAGTCAAGAAAGTTGCGATAAAAAATTATACTATTCCCGTCTGCTGCTCTTGTCACGTAACGAACTAACTCTTTACTTGTTTACTGTGTACCTCAACTGTGTAATATCAAATTGTGTCGTAAATCAATATTATTTTGTATAATAAATAAATATCTATTTTAAACATGAATGTAAATCTTTCGTTTTTGTTGTTTCACCCAAATGACAAAATTGTGTACATATTTGACACCTATTATAGTTTTATAACTGTTTACATCACATCATCAGCCTTCGCTAGCGTGGCCCATATGTTGTCCCCATGGCATTCAAAGTGTTAATAACCACACTTGCTGACGGACTGGCGATTTCGGATATCAAACTTATAAGGCCAGGTTTCAAGGCTCATTATATTTTCATTCACCGAATTTCTGTGGTGTCTTAATGAACTTAGAAAGTACATAATAAAATATGACACGTAAAAGCCAGATTGCTTCTTGCCGGATTTCGAACCAACCTCCTCATGCATGAGAAGTTGGTGAGCTTTAGGCTACGGCGATTATTAAATTAACTAAATTAGCGTTAGTCTGTAATCTGCATGGCAATTTTGGTGGACTTTAAATAGAGTCACGTACCATCGTATGACAAGGGAGTTGCTACTGTAATTCAAAATCCTTGTGTGGATTACTCAAAGATATTACAATCAATCGGTCGTTTCATTATTCAGTCATTCCGGTCATATCCTGTAGAGCGTATAAATAATCAATTTCGTATGTGGTCAGATTATAAGGAGATACGAAACGGAAAGAATTATCAACCATAATCATTTAGTTATATGGAATACGTAATAAATTAACTAACATAGTAAATTAAATATGCAGATTTCTTATTATTATCATCTCCCCTCTCATGTCCGACCTTAGTCGAAGCCATGTTGTGGAGCAAGAGGAACTGGAAAGCCGTCACCTCTTTCTGCAAAGCAATGATTATCGCAAAGGAGGAGGCGGAACGCGTGAGGGAATTATCTTCCTCACGCACCACCCGCCGCAGTAGGCGACACTCCGGGCGTCGGGGATCGATGGACTGACTGACGACGTACTGCGAGCAAGGCTAGCGAACCGCCCCACCAGAGCTAGACCCTAGCATACGGCGCGTAGCGTTCCGCCTCAAAGAGGTAATAGACCACCACCATAGGCCCTACAGTGCCGATGTTCAGCCGGAGTTGCGGAACTAGCGCAATAAGTTACCGCGGCCTCGGCCTACTAAAGCAGAAGAAGGAACGTGAGGGATTTTTAGTCAGTAAGAGTCTGACACTCCCTCTTGCTCCCTCTTGCTACTGCTCACTCTGGGTGAGAGAAGTCATTTGATGATTTTGCCCTCACAAAAAAGGCGCAACAATGTTTCGCGGCAAGGCCAAGTTCAGAATATAGAACAAGTTATTTTATACTAATTGCTAAAAACGAACTTTGTTTAGAACTTTCTGCAATTTCAAGGTAGAAAAAAAATTGGTTTGCAGACCGTTTTAAGTGAACTTTATAAACATTTTTGAAGAAAATACGCTGTCAAAAATAAAGATTCCCCTAAAATGGGGGCAAAAATATAAATAGGTTTTCTAGGTAAAAGGAAACAGGTTCACAGACTTTTTGTTACTTGCGAAAAATGACTTCCATTGATTTTTTTTCTTGGAAAATTTAAGGATTCTAAATTACCCAAAATTATTTTTCTACTCCACCCTAGATGGGAACCGTAATAGAAAAACATAGCTACACTTCTAAGGCAGCGCGTTCTATTCCGAGTTTTATTCTGTGTTTTAAATCAGATGGTTAGTTTATGATTCTAAACCATGTTACCCAACGTAACTTTGCATTAAAATAAAGTGTTTAATTTAGCGCGAGCCAAGCCAAGCCACGGACAACAACTTGTTATAAAATAAAGCATCGAACTTTAACAGTAGTTCGTCATTTCATTTTTGTATATTAGAGTATTTGAGATATATATGTATATTTTTGTTCTTTCCTACTGTTCATTTTGAATTGTATGCAACATAATATCTGCTAGCCCTATAAAGATAAAATGCGCGATTAAAATCTTTAATTTTTCGAAAGAACTATTTACAATATTTTTTGCACATAAAAAATATTTATTACATTTATTAGTTTACGGTTTAATTTTAATCAAGTTTCTTAGAAAGCTCGGGTAGAAATATGTATTTATTTTCAATGTGTTGTGAATAACATCATTCTATTTTCTTATGGAGGGCAAAACAATATTATTTATTGTTTGTTTGTAGTATTGAGTGTTGTGTAAACAAGTTAAACCCAATTGCGTGCAAGTTACTACTCAAACGCGGTTTAACCATTGCATTCGATTTTGGAAATTCCTAAAAATGTATACCGACCTACTGAGACATGCACAACAATACTCATATTTTGATAAGCTTAATGATTATAAATACCCATTTGATGTATTTTTGTCTCAAGTTTTCCTCCATTGTAAATACGGATACATATACCGGAGCTACAATTAATATTTATATTCACTTGTCCAGTATCCACTAATCGAATTAGTCGGAACTGAAGAAAACTATTTTACTTGCATTTATTTGTTGTTTTAATTAAAATGTATAGATATTCCACTTCATTTTTTGTGGTAAGTGAAACTTACCAAATAAATATATTTTATTATACCTATTCAATATTTAATTTTATTCTCATACTTATAAATTGTCTTTTTGCAGATCGCCGTGTCCTTATGCTTTTCAAAATCAATAGGTAATCCAATAGACGGTGAAATACTTGGCGATTACAGTTCTCTTGTCCAATGTAAGTGCAACTTCACTCGTTTCCAATAATGATAAGGTTTTTAGTAACGCTTGCTCCTCCTTCAAGATGCAAGCGGGGATGTAGGAGTTATTCTTCAGCTACTAATTGGTTCCAATTTTAATACAAAGTCAGTTTATGGCCACACTCATGTTTGTATCCCAAAATTAATTATTTTTATTTAGTACAAATATTTACAACTTTTAATTATGTTATTCAAAATAATAATTATGAATTTTCATTATTATAACACATATTCTGAACTAAAATGTATAACTAATTAAGTAAACACACATAAGTATCATTTTTAATCAAATTATTTAAAAAAAGCTGCATATTTCATAGTAAGGAGGTGAATCTAAAATTCAATAACCTTAAGCTTCGTGTCTAAGTGGTAACTGTAATGTAAAATAATTTTTAAAGTATTCAAAATATTAACAATTATATTTTCCTAACTTACAGATGAGATGCCCGCAGCATGCAAGAACCAAACTTTTTGTTTTGAAAAGGGTGAAAACTATCCTGAAGAACTCGTCGGGGAATTCTTAAAAACGATGCCCTTGGGTGTAAGAATCATAAACTATTACCACTACTTACTTGTTTTAAATATTAAATTGAGTTTGTCTGGCTGGCTCCGGAGTTGCTACGCATCCAAATAACATTTCTAATTCTGAGACATTCATGACTGTTCAAAAACAATATGATAACAATATTATCCACTACACACTGGACTACCCTGTTGTTAGATCCAAACTAATAATATACCTATAATTGCGAAAGTAACTCTGTCTGTCTGTCTTTTCTTCACACCTAAACTACTGAACCGATTTCTGTGAAATTTGGCACAGACATAGTTTAGAACTCGAGAAAGGACATAGGATAGTGTTTATAAAAAAATCTGCAGGTGGTCACTATTCCACGCGAACAGAGTAGGGGGTAAAAGCTAGTTGATAATAATTTACAGCTCTTATCAAACCAGATCTTAATAAAAAATGTTTTCAATAACAGCTAGGTGTCTAGGACTAAACAAAGCCCATTTCGTGAATCGATACCATTTGAAATTGTTGCTTGAATTATTTTTATTTCTAAAAACCTTGCTCCACTCTGGCATTTTTTTAATTACGTTTACAAATTTAATAATGACACCTACACATATCATTACACTTGTTAATTTAATGTGTATCCAATTCAACTTCTTTGTTATTCGACATCTTTTATTTTAGTTGGACCAAACTGGCTTTAGAGCTGGCTTTAGTTTCCGGGTCGGGGATGACGAGGATGGTAATGCGGATTGTCCAGCAAACACGACATTTGCTGTAAGTATTTTCAATTCTAGAAACTGACTGACGAGGTACCCGAATACCGTTATTTAGGTTTGCTTAATGGCAACAATTAAGGCCAGTTTTAGCGTAAACCACGCCTTGATTTAATTTATTATTTACCTTACTCTTTACTCAATTAAATTAAAAACATGTTCATTTATTCACAGGACAAACCTATTTACTACATTGTCGATGAAATGGGAATGGTGAGAGTAGTTATCCAATCCCCTAACCAGTTCGAGCAGCTCTACAGTACCAGATGGTGTCTGTAAGTATTAAATCAATTGGGTACATAACAAATTCGCATATAAATATGTATAGAGATACTCACACATACATATTCTTGAAATTGCTAAAAATGGCGATAACTCTATGAGGACGAGATTCACCAACCTCAAATCGGACCAGACAAATATTTATGTGGCTCATTGTTGATTGTTAAAAAAGACCTTAAAGTTAATTTACTGGCCGTTTAAGTAAATCACCAAGAATTCTTTTAATAAGAAAGATACGTTTTACTATACAAAGCACAACCAGAATGCAGTTTCCTCGTTTAGCCCTCGGATCGGTTGGTTAACTTGGACCAACCAGAGCGCTGAACGTCATAGACGTGTCTATTATCGCTTTAACGTAAAGCAAAAACGCAGTATGCACTCAGGTCGTTTTGATCAAAGTGTTTGATTATTTACTAATGCGTAGGTTAGCGGTTATCTTTCTTTAATGGAGATGATTCTGCGTTTGCCCTCTATCGCAAAACGGAAGGAAATGATGCGACTTACGATTTCAAACATGTACCTACCTACTTAATTTCATATTAAATATAAAGAGTTTGGACTTAACAACTTATTCTTCTATTTCAGAAATCCAGGAATAATCCGTCAAGATACGCCGCATTTCTTGTCTGGATCACGAACACTAAAGCAGTTCCAAATTGAGTGTGTTACAACGTACATGAATCTTGATTTCATGGTGTTACTGGATGATGTGGATGGACCAACAATGAAGTCGACGTATGCTATGGGCGGTATTCCAGTTTGCTGTAAATGTCGATACAAAAGAAACAATTATTTTAACTAACATACTTATTTCTCAATATTTGATATTTTTGGGATATTTGTATTTTTTTTTTTTTGTTATTTATGTACACAATAAATAAAACAACAATTTTATTATTTTATAGTTTGTTACTTACTACACATTCTATAAAATCATATAACTTTTTTTGTACCATGGATTATTGATAAAAATAGTGATTAAATTACTGCATGAATGCATTGAACAACAAGGATAGAATAGAATATTTTTGCAAATATTGTTTGTATTTTATATAATAAAAAAATTACCTACTTACTAATTATAATACAGCTCAGTCACATTTTGCCTTTCGGCGTGCAAAATACTGAATATTTGTTATAAGTCAAAGTTAAAAAAATATTTTTTACAAATGAAATCAAATTTAAGATTATAAAATTTGTTAGTGTAAACGACATCAATTTTAAAATAATGTATACAATTGTTATTACTTAATATCTTTTTCTTATTACTTAAAATCGTCGCCCCATACTGTGATTATCTCCTGTAACTTGGGTACGTTTACAAACATACAATTTCACATACACCACATTAACGCGAAAAATAATTATTTAAATACCTTGGTAGGCTTGAGGTTTCGACCTGGTTGCACAGGTCGTGGTCGCAAGCATACTAAAGATGCGATGTCACAGTTCCCTGCAATCGGGCGATAAAGTTTTTGTAAAAATTTTCAACATTTAGTAATTCAGCTTTTCAGGAGGCTCGGCAGATTGCCGTATAATGATTGGTTTTTATCTTTTGTATTATTTGATATACTTGTTCCATATTGTGTTTTTTCTTATTGTTGTTTTTTATATGTGTTCTATGAGTGTAATGAATTGCCCTACCAATTAAATAATACATGCTGTGTTTTCCATTAACAGTTAATGTAACAACTACTGGTGGAACTAATAAAATAAAATAAAAATTAAAGACTAATTCTTACTGACTAAAAACTGCCCCTCCTTCCTTCTCCTGCGTAGGGCCGGACGGCAATGTATTATTGCGCTTGCAGCCGCCACCCTGGTGTGCGACTTAAGAATGCACTCAAAAGCAACGAATACTAAAGGATGCCGTGCCGTAGCCCTACCTTGAGACCGACTCTTATTCTATCCAGTTACTGATTACAATTATTAAGGATTTAAGGAAATACGATTGAGTATGGGGGGAAGGAAGAACTGATCCTATGGAAGCCTCACTCACAAAGTAAAATACAACGTTTGTGTTGCTTCACGCTGGTTGTCTGTGAGACCGTGGTATCACTATGGTCGAGCCGGCTCATTCATGCCGAAGCATGGCTTTCCCGCACTCATTTATGAACTAGTAGATAATGTGACGTATTCAGGACGTCATAGAAGAGGTAAAACACAACACATTACATCATATTCCTGCGAAACGACTAGATTGATTTATGCAATTTAAGTTTTGTTATTGTTGTGAATCAATTTTAATTTCATAGTGGCTTCTACCAGCGCAGCGGTTTAGATATGGGTAGAAAGGGGGTATAAATTTAAAGTAGCGTATATTTTATTCGAGACCAAAAATACGGTAGTGTCTTTATGTGATAGCAGCAGCAGTAGGTACTACCTGATGGTAAGCCATTGGTTCCACCTATGGACACAAGATAAGTGCGTTGCCAGCGTTTAAAAAGGCCTCCGGTAACCTCAAGCAAATGGCAAAACACAATGCTGTATCGATGGGATTTTTTTTAAATCCATTTAGTAGTCTTACTTGAAAGAGTAACAAACATCCTTTGTCCATTAAAATAAACGGTCTCTATATTTATTCCTACGATTTTATGTCATAATTTAACATTGCTTAATGGTACTTGTCTTAACAATTGTTATGCATAGTACTCATTTGCCATAACGTATAAATCATATTTTTTAAATGCAAATAGTAAGTAGGTACTTATTACAAGCATAATATTTAATAAGCATTCCACCCCAAAGGATAACTTTATATAAGTATAACGCATAAGCATAACTACTATAAACCTACAAACAATAATCGGAAAAATTAACCACAAAAATTTTAATAGCAAACCTTACCTAAACTAACCTAATACCTAAAATCCTATAACGCGTGTCAATAATAACATACATAATATATGTATTATACCTACTTTGAAATTACGTAAGTAAATTTTGAATAAACATATACATATTCATAAGTACCTACGTTTTATTTACGCTTTACCATTCCAAATAAACGTTAGACAAATAAGCAATATGCGTTTTCATTCATAATATCAATGAAAAAACGAAATAGGTTATACAATATTTATACTTAATTATACAGTATGCTAAAAACCAGGCACGGCACAATATTATTATGACAAAGCAAATTATGCCTAACTTATTATGACAATTTAAATTAGGACAAAAACCATTATGAGCAAAAGAGGGACCCCTAAAACACTAACGTTTAAAAAACATCGTACGAATTTTTTTTTTTATACTTTTTCGTTTTTTTCTTTAACAAACCTACATACCAGTGCTCTATCACATAATATGTTAAAATATAAATTCTTACCCACTTATTACAAAACAAGGTTTATATTTAGTCCAGGTTTAAACCATTGAGTCGGGTTTTGAATTTTGAATCTTATTGTCATCTACCTTCAATTCGAAATACAAAAACTGGCTCAATGGCTTAGTCCTAGACTAAAGTAAAACCTTGTTTTGTAATAAGGCCGATTATGTTTTATCGGTTTTTTAACTTTTTGTAACTATCTGCTTTGTTAAATACCAAAATATAGTAACTATTGTAAGCTGGGGAAACTACACATTGGGGTACTAAATATAATTATCGGTACTTTTCCCAATTACATAATACTTGGTAAATCCCAATAAGCGAGTTTTGCGCTTATAATTAAATATGAATCAAGTCGGGAATTACTGAATCAACTAGTATACTTGGGTATTTTTGTTATCATAACATAAATTATTCGAACTTTTTATATTACAATAAATTAGGCCACTGGGCAATTTTTACAAACAATTATACCATTTGACGCACGTATATGATGCCGCTTGTTCTCTTACTAAATAACATTTCGTTATATAATATCTATAGTAGTATGGTATCATTAGGTTTATTTAACAAATTAAAATATCACAAATAATAATTTCGGAAAGTCACAGTTACCTACTTGAGAGGATTTCATCAGAAAGAAAAAAGAAAAATATTGTTTAAAAAAATAATTAATTTCAAAAAAGACTTATTTACAGGAGTTTAAAATACTTAGTTAACGTAACCTTAACCCATAAGTTTGTATAAAAAGCTCGCGTAGAACACTCTATATCTTTTTAAGCATATTTATCAACAAGAGACGACATTGTTGTGGTTTGAGCCGGTAACCACTACCAGACGTCCTAATACATAGCGGGTTGTGACGGACTCAAGCACTACAAATACTAAGGCTCCATTGTTATAAATGCTGAAAGCCACGAAGTAGAAATTCGAAGACGCTTCGATTCCACGATAATCAACGATTTGTAATGGAAAGCCTTATAAAGATTTGGGACGATAAATAACCAGAAGTGCAAAGGTTTGATTAATGAAATGCTTGGTCTATCCAATATTTTTATATGGAGCATAGACGTTTAAGCTGCGGGTGCAGACCAGGTGCAAAATTGGTTCAATGGAAATGTGGTGTTGTAGAAGACTGCTTAGGACCCCCTGGAAACACCGTGCCATAGAGCAAGAACTTAGAATTATAATTAAAAAGAGATTATCGGTAACTGTGCAATTACGATATCCCTAAATAGACACATTACCCGAAACGATAATTCAATGGAACGATTGTTTGTGCAGGAAAAAGTTGAGGGCATTCGCCAACACGCTTTTTTTTGTGACGGGAAAATCATCAAATGACTTCTCCCGCCCAGGATCGGGCGGGAGAAGTCATATACATTGAACCTCCTCCTTTGCGAGCATAACTGCTTCGCAGAAGGAGGAGATAGCTTCCCAGTTCCTCTCGCTATGAACCATGGCCACGATTAAGGCCGGGCGCGAGCGGTCGCCGTCTCCGATCGCTTCCCTGAGAACACGGCGGTGCTCAGCCCAGGCAGGGCATACCGCCACCGTATCCTCTAGGTGGTCCTCACGATGACGACACTCGGGCGTTTCCTTCCGCTGGATTTGCCTACACGCTGGGACCACCTTATAAAGTACGTTACCTAAACTAGGGAATTTTAATGATAGTTTCCACTCACTCAAAATCGTATGTGCAGACAGTTGCTAGATCAAGATCAACAACTGATATCGACCACAATCGCTCTCAAGGGTAGCTCAATAAATAATCAAAAGTCAATTCAATTCAATCAAGTGTGGGAAAGCCATGCTTCGGTGCGACCGGAGTGATACCACGGCCTCACAGGAACCGGCTAGAACCTCCTCCAATCCCTCCCCAATCCCAAAATCTCCAAATCTCAATCCCCAAAAGGTCAGCAACGCACGCGTAACTCCTAAATAAACAGCTTAATAAAGGTCGCAACTTTAGGATATACCTAGGAAAATACCTTATATGATGATACGCATATTAGTAATAATAATATGATGAGGTTAATCTGTATTAAGGATTTCGCGCACATAGTTTTACTGTAGCTTTTCCTGCCGTTGTCGAGTAATCACGTATATAACGGAGCTACAATTGACATTGATGTACATTTGTCAACTATTCGCTACACGAGCTGGACGATTGTTGTAATCCGTTAAAATATCCATAGCATTAATTCCAATTAGTGTGTTCTTCTATACTAAAATAACAATATAGTTCTATATTCCACGCTAACTCCTTCTTGCATAAACAAAATGTATCGATTTGCTATCTCAGTTAGTCTTGTAAGTACTTAACCAAAAGAAAATACTATAATTTATTACTTATTTTTACTCTTTCTAGAAAGAGAAAAATTTTGCTCTCGTAATGTTTACTTTATTTATACTTGTTTACAGATCGCTGTGCTTATAAGCTTTTCAAAATCAATGGGTAATCCCATTGAAATTGCTGCCCCCAGCTCTCTTTTACGGTGTAAGTATATTTTTCTTGCTTATGTACTATAACTTTACATTAATGTATAATATACTTTATATTCGAAAGGTAGGCAGAGGTACAGGCAAAGAATCGCAAAATTTGTTTTCATTAAAATAGATGGTCATATCACATAATAACTGTGTATTTTTACAACACACTCACCGATTAATAGTTTATAATTTGGTCAGCAACTTAGAGAAGTTATAATTGTAGAAAAACCACATTTTTATTTATATCAGGAATCTCTATAACATTTTGAAGGGGCTCGAATTTTGAAGAAGTCAATGATATTATTTTTAATGAAATATAATAATAGTAACAATGATTTCTTAATAATTTACAGATGAGATGCCCGCAGCATGCAAGAACCAAACTTTCTGTTTCGAAAAAGGTGACAACTATCCTGATGACCTGGTCGAACAATTCTTAAAAGCTATACCTCTACAGGTAAGAACTACAATATGAACTCATAATTGTCCCTAAATTTACATAATAAAATTGTCCCTTATACTACGACTAACCAAAACTCCCTCCAAATAATTGCTCAAAAGAACATCTCAAATTCATATCCTTATAGGCAATAACTCTTGCCACATGTCTCAATATGTCAATTAAATAAATTTTAATATTAAATTTACAGAATAATCTTGGCTCACGGATAGGCTTTAGTTTCCGAGGCGGAGATGAAGAAAATGGTAATGCGGATTGTCCAGCAAACACGACATATGTGGTAAGTGCTTTTTGGTAACTTTTAATCGGGTTTTAATGTTCCGTATTATGAAGTACCTATTATTCAAAAAAGAAAAGAAAAGTATAACAACATTTTCCTTTAAAATTATATAAACTAGTGCTTTACTGCAATCCTACCTGATGTTAAGCAGTAATGGTATAGCAATCGTTGATGGTAAGGCACGCTAGTTTATCAAGATGATATTTATTGGGTTGTGTGCTGGCACAAAAATGTAATGCAGCCTCAGATGGGTACAGGAAAACGGCCGGGGTAATTTTTTAATCAGTTAGGACGGGAGAAGCATTTGATAATTTCCCCACTAATAAACCATGATTTCACATTATGACTAATTGGCAATTGGTTTATGATTATAACTTTCTATTAGAACCGATTTGCATCTAGAAAAGTGCGTTGATAGGACTGCAACACAAAAACAAAATAAAAAGTCAAGAGGATTTTAAAAAATACCATGTATTAAACAGGCCAGGCCATTACCGAAACCGCTGATTTAATTGACTGCTACATGTACATAATTGGAACATAGAATTTCAAGAATCTTTTATTTGATATTTATTTACAGGACAAACCTATTTACTACATTGTCGATGAAATGGGGATGGTGAGAGTAGTTATCCAATCCCCTAAGAAGTTCGAACAGATCTACAGTACCAGATGGTGCCTGTAAGTATTTAATCAGATTGTTTCTAGTCTCGTTCCCAATAATAAAACCTGTAGGTGAGTGCCTCGATGGTCGAGAGGTCACAAGGTCGCCAAATAAAGGGGTTTGAGGTCGATTGCCCTTCCTAGCAAATTATTGGGCTTTAAAAATCATTAAGTTATAGCACAGGATTCACAACATCAGCCTATAAATATTCACACGGAGGAGGTTTGAGCATAGGATTAACCTGTATTAAATAGGACGGACTACTTAGTTGGAAGTTGAGTCGTTAAGTCCACTTTTGTCTAGCTCTTCAGGAACGACAGAAGTTAAATAAAAATATCACTTTTATGATTCTAGTTTTTCGGAAAGATTCATCAGATCATCAGTCATGTGTCAATGTCAATCCGTACTACCAAAATTATATATTTTAATGCATTCTTATATTTTAGGAATCCAGGAGTCATCACTAAGAATACGGCGCATTTCTTCCCTGAGTCGCTGACATTTAAAAAAGTCCAGCTTAGATGTGATACATCATACATGGATTTGGATTTCATGGTATTGGTAGACGACTATGATCAACCAACATACGAAGTGGTGAAGGCTTTGGGTGGCATACCAGTTTGCTGTAAATGCCTATACTCAAGATCGAATATTAAGTAATCAACCTGTATATTGTTATTTTGAGATTAATATTTTCGACAATGGATCCGAGATGCTTATCGTGAGACTTGTATGCTAATTTATATGTATTTAATAAATAACTATAAGTGAAAATTATGTAGTAATTTAAGTTTTATAAATATAAAGGACTGAATTGACATAAAAGATTTTTTATTATTACAATATCAATATTGACTCCTGTTGTATAAATAAAGAATAAAAGTAAAACTAGTACTAGATCTCTAAGGACACCATTTTTGCGGCGAAAGTTTCGATAGTAATTTACGTAAGTTCATTAACCCCATACGCATTGGAAGAGAATTATCGATTTGATCCGATTTTGTCAGCTCAAAAACAAGGCTTTTCAAAATAGGTTTGGAAGTTAACGCCTTGGTTTTTTATCATTAGCCAACCTTAGATCTATTTTGGCCATCAAATAAGTTATTAACACTCTTCAAATAAGTGATTTCTTAAATTTTGTTTACATGTGGCAACCCTGGCTATCGTGAATGTGTCTAGATGTCGTGAGGTGTGTAAAAGGTGACTAGGTACTGTATGATATTTTATGAGGCATGATTACTGAGTATTTTTAAAATCGATAAATCCAATAACCACCATTAATCTGCAGACTATACCGGCCAGTCGGCTATATCGGCGAAGAGTTTCTAGTAAAACTTATATGACAAAGGATAATACAAAAATGTATATTTGTATATAATACGAGACGGTACCTACACTTATACAAATATTTTTGGAGCGTTCTTATTCCAAAAAACATCTCAGTGTCTATGATGACTAAGTATATGAGAACTAATTTAAGTTTAACAAGAAAATTTTGGGTAAACAAGTCGTAAACCAAAGAACTATTACTTATACCTACCGTTTAATTAAAACTCGTTAATATTTTGTGACTAAACCACATTTTTTCTGTTATCTCAAGAAGTAGCTCTGTTTACAACCAAAACTCGTAGTAGATTCCAACAAAACAATACTACACGCCATCTACAGACTACACCTATACACATAAAAAATGTGGCAAATATAAAACTTTATACTATGATGAGATTGCTAATGGTATGCAACAATCTGCAGCAGATCTACATAATCTTATTTATATCTACTACTTCGTTACGCAGTTGAAGTGAAAAAAAAACACAAACCTTACGAGGCAATATTGGCATAACTATTTAATTTCAGAATAACATCACGCGTAGCATGCGACCTATTACCCTTTCAAATAACATCTTGTAAACTTCGAACTCCCTGTTATGATGCATAAGAAAAAAATACCCTTATAGGTACTTTATCTATATACTTTGTCGTGGTGCCGGGAGGTTTAGGCGCTTCTCATGCATGAGGGTTCGAAACATGGCAAGTACCAATGTGACTTTTTCCACACAATAAGATATAATTATGTAGGTACTTTCTATGATTAGGTATTTAAACACCACTGACACACAAAACATCGCGAGGAAACCTGGACCTACACATTTTTAATTATAAGTTTGAAATCGCCAATCCACCTTGAGCAAGCTTGGTGATTAATGCTCAAACCTTCACCATGAGAAGATTCCTCCTTTGCTCAGCAGTAGGCACTTGTAGGTTGATGATGGGTGTGCCACTTATACTATGTACAACATTGTTGACATTGTTGAAACTTCTTAATAATGGACTTTATTTAAACTGACTGAGAAACATATATTTGTGTTAGTGTGACCAATAAATATTGTTTGCAATTGTAACACGTTTTTGATTACATATTTCAACATAACAAAACAAATATTCATCATTCTGGTCTTAAAATATTTTAGGCCAAAGTGTCTTACGGTTTTCTGGTCGGGGTTAGAGTTATCCTTTCTTGCCGTCCACAAGTCCCGACATCTGAAATCCGGTACACCTTCTAAGGCAGCTGGAGCATAGGGAGGATTATTCCTCTAACGCACTCTGCCTCATTCCCAACTAGCATGACTGCTCTGTAGAAGGAGGAGTCGGCTTCGGAGTTCTTCTAGCCATTCCATCATGACCTGGATCAAGGTTAAGTAAAAGACTGCCGCAGGTAGCTTACTTTGATAATATTGGTGCATTTTCTTACAAGTAATATGATTATCACTTGCGAGATTATAAGAACTTTTGTAACCATGTTTATCTGCAAATAAATCTTTGACTTTGACTTTGACTTTGAGAAAGCGCTGTAGTAAACAACAATCTTTTCCAGTTTCAGCCTGTTTGATTATCTCTGTCGATTTATTTTGTCATATTTTCGCTGGTATTGTGATGAACCAAAATATAAATAAATTACCTACTTGTTTTAATTATTAAGTCATAATTGTACGCAGAATTTTCCTATGACGTGCACTAAATGACGTTATTTGATAAAAACTCATAATACCTAATTGGAATAACGGGCATGTATTTCGTAAGAGGATAAAACTCAAGAATTATTATTGTGATAATCCAATCCAAATGATTTAAAATATATGCACTATACAAGTTGTGCCAAAACTTATCAATAAAATTGATCTAGGTAAACAGGCTGTATGAAAAGAAAGAAAGAAAACAACATTCATTTGAAACTCGTACAGGACAGAAGATACCTATATACAAGTACAATTACATTTAAACATACATAAAGAAAGATTAAACAAAACAACAACAAAAAAAATAGGGGTAAGTTATCTCCTTAGCTGTCTCTCTGTATATTCTTTGCGCATGTCTTGAATTTCAATGAAATTGCAACAATAAACTGAAAATAGGCGCATATTTAAAGTAACAGATACTTTTTCAAAACAACATTGTGAGAAATTGGTGTCTTAGGTGTCTAAGAAAGCTAGAGCACAAGAGGCACTGGCATCATTTTTAGTCAGTATAAATCTGACACTCCGGCTCGCCCCACCTAGGGCGGGAGAAATGATTTGATGATATTCGCCTCAAACAAAAAAAATATTTAGGCAAAGATAGCATTTATCTTTTAATGCCTACTTTTCTAGCGGTTATACATCTATACCTACTTATAATAATTCTGTAGAGAGGTCAATTCTGTACATTAAATTTATTTATAAAATAACTACCAGGGTGTGATAAGTGATCGATACTGATGCCAAAAATTCAATCAGTAAATTTTTTGTCTGTCTGTCTGTCTGTATGTTCCTTATAGAAACAAAAACTACTCGATGGATTGTAACAAAACTTGGTACAATAATTCTTTATACTCCTGGGCAGGTTATAGGATACTTTTCATCACGCAACAAATAATTGGAGCAGAGCAGTGTCGGGCAAGCGGCAGAAGATTCTCCCTTTTTTAAGTTTCCGTCGCGTGTGTACCCTTAACGGTTAAAGTTACATAGAAACTATGTAAGATGGAAATATTTTATATAAAATTTTCAAAAAAACAACATATGTTTTACAACATATGTCTATCTTTTATGGTTAACTCACAATAGCACGTGTAACTCCTGATAGCTTAGCAGTTCGGATAATAAGCCATCGCGCCGTCGCATGTGAACACTGAATCATACTATAAGGACTCGAAGCGACGCAGTATAAAATATAATATAATAGGTTTTATGAAATATTTGTAATACTACTTACCTATTACTTAGATCCGTACCATTCTATCTATGAACGGACGGATAGCAGAGACTTAGTAAATAATAGGGTATTTACCCATTGAAGATGTACCCATAAAAATGAGACGGTTGATAACAAATTTTATGTATACTTCGATTTTGTTCTATTGCTATAGGCTGCTTTTTATCAACACAGCGCGCGTGCGAAGCCGATGGCGGAAGCTAGTATTTACATATGGACATGGATTTAGAATCTTGGTAACTTAAATGTGTGCTAATTTTAAAAGACATACCACGAGTATTGCCGTACTTTTTTACTCAACGGTGAATTAAAAATCCGAATCTTATCTTAATTAAAACGTAGATTGTGAATAAACCAAATTTGTTACGACATTTTTTAGGGATGAAATGTACCTAATGTCATGATAACGAACCAGTTTCAAGGGGTATTAGTGTTTACAAAAACGGAAATGGTCTATCATCTGGCCGAATTTCATCGTTGAGTTTTGGGACATCCTGTAAATTTCGTAACGTGCAGTTTGTAGAATCCAATACTCTATGTAATGCCTACAGGTACCTGACCTGATCTTAAGATTTTTTTAAGTTTTATTATACCCTAGCTTTCATTTGTGTGGATTTTGAACTGTGGAGTTTATATAGGAATTTATCTTATCACATTATTGCACGATAAAAAATTCGTTGAAAATTCTGTCGTCATTCATCTTCATTTATTGAATTATATTTTGTAAATATGTGTTATAATTGTGTCAAGCGGAAAACAGTATAATAATTTTATGGATTATTGAACATTTTCCTCACGATCATTGCACTAACTATATAAATAAAGCTATTCATTCGAAAACATCCCACTGACTCGTGAAGCTTCAGTCGCTCAGCACCATTGGCTAGCAAAACATCAAACAGATTTAAAATTTCTAAAGTAAATTATCTTTGTACTAAACATAAAAAATGGCGAAATTCCCTTGTTCTCTTACTTCAGTACTGCTGGTGAGTTTTATATACTTTGATAAATGATAAACTTATAAAACGTTTTCGTTGGTTTTTAGTAGTTTATTGTATAATACCTACAAAAAAATCCTCTGGAAAAGTTCAAATGCGTACTTAATTTCTTTATTGCGTTCCGAAATACCTATGTAAGTTCCACATTTCCCGACAGCTATTAGAAAATTCCATCAGGCGTTAAGTCCCTCAGTGTATGATTCATACTAAAATGTACCGTGTTGTGAACAATCGACGACTTGTTTGCTCCTAATACGCATGTCAGTTCTAATTTTTAATTTGTCTGTCTGATTGATCCTGGGCTGCTGTGTAACGTCTCGAGGATCCGATACTCGCATAGAACACCCTGTGTAATCCATACAACGGTATCCCAGGTCAGGGCGTGATGTGTGTGAATATGTATGTTTCTAAACGCACACACAACACAGGAGAAACCCATAGTGTAGGCCAATGTTTTCTTTAATATAAAACTACATTTTCTTTCAGGTTGTCATTGCAATTCACATAAGCTCAAACACAGTGTCAATGACTTCAGACGGTGAACTTCTGATAGATCCTAGAACTATGTTCAAATGTAAATATCACCATTTATACCTATTTAATCCAAGTCGATAAATATCTTATATGTCAATAAAGTTGTAAATGATTCAAAAACATAAAATATAAATATAATTCTACAATCAATATTAAACCTGAAAAACAAATTGAATACCTACTATGTTTTTATACCAAAAATCTGAATTTTCCTTGTTCTTCTTATGCTATACAAAACTGTGTTATCTAATTGTAATTTTTTTATAAATTTTATTAATGAAATAAACAAGTTACTGAAATCACCTTCAGTCCAAGTAATGCTACTGTAATTTTATAAATAATGATTTATTTTCAGATCAAATGCCAGAAACCTGTATAGGACAATCGTATTGTTTTGAGAAGGGTGATCACTATCCTGATGATATAATGCAGAAATTGGTAAGATAAAAACATGTATTTACCTACTTATATAAAAACATCGCCATTTGATTAAATTGTATTTGTTACAATCTTATTTACACAATGATATTAAGTAAAATGGTGTAGATATTTAGGTAACTAAATAAAATTCGATTTTCAAAAATGACACACTGATGCACACATGAACAAACGTATGTTTAGACGTCAAAGTGAGATGGCATGATTCAATAACCGCGAGTGAAAAGAGACAAATATGAAAAAAAAGTGTGGCTAATTAGCCACATTTTAATGTATTACATGCTGAGCGCTTGTAAACTATCTACACCGTTTTACTTATAATATCATTGTATTTACTTATATATCTTTTAACATTTTTTAGCACATTCTAAAAAAATAAATGGTTTTATGTTGATTTTTTAATTCAATAAAACTGACAGTATTATACATATAAAATTGGTTGAAGAAGATGTAGGATGATTGATTTAAATATTTTTTTTTTCTATATAATTCTATATTTTTTTAAAGTTAGCGTCACTCCTTGTATTTATTATTCCTTTTTCATTTAAATTATAATCACTAACATTTTTTTTTGTAGAATTTAAACTTTGAAATCCAGAACAGTATCGGTACACGCAAAGGAAGTGACGTTGACGAACCCGATTGTCCATCGAACTCAACTGTAAGTACAAAGTATATATTTTTTTAATTATAAAGTAAAGGCTTTTATTCAATGACCGAATGAATTCTGTATACCTAGATGAATGTGTGTAAATAAATTTTAACAAACATATAATGATGTAAAACATAATTTGTGCAACTATGTGCCTTACACATTTAGCAGGCACTCATATGATGGTGGAGAAATAGGCCCAAAATCTAATAAAATTTAAAAACTGACATCGATCTATTTGACTGAAAGTTGCTATTAACAATCTTAGAACAAAATATATATGTAAAAATAAGAACACTGATTATTAAAGCAGATGTTTTACATATGTATCCTTTAAAACTAGGTATACATGAACTTCAATTTACTTACAACGAGAATTTTTTGTATTTTGCAAGACTTTTAATTACATCAATCATGTTTATTGTTCTCAGGACAGTCCAATATACTACATCGTGGATAAAAACGATATTGTAAGAGTAGTTGTGCAGATACCCGACAAATTCCCACAGAGGTTCAACGTCAGGTGGTGCCTGTAAGTATTTTTGCGTCATTATTATCATATCCGAAACAATGATTACGCTTTTTCCATATTTCGTAACAATTTGATTGCATCCACTGCACCGATATTTCTTAGTGTACTACCAAAGTGTCGTTTTGTGAGGGGAAAATAATCAAATGACTTCTTTCGCCCAGGATGAGGCGAGAGCGACTGTCAGACTCAAACCGACTAAAAACCCCTCCGCTTTGTCTCCTGCGCTAGCCCCTACCAAAGTTAAATAAATGATATAACAAAATGAAACTTGTCGCTAAATAGTGTAAAAATATATAAACATTACATTATCAGATCATTGTCAGCAATTTTGAAGCTTCATTCCAAGGTTTAAACTCGACAGATCTACAATCTAAAACCTAAACATTAATAAAATATTATAGTATAGTTAAAACTGTATAAAGCTCCACAATATCCTTTGTTTAAAATGTACATTTTCATATTTCAGGAATGAAGGAAAGATCAAGAGCGACACTAAACATTTTATGGCTTCAACAACTCTCAAAAAATATGATGTCGAATGCGTTAGCAGCAAATTGGAATTCGACTTTATTGTGCTAAGCTTGGAATCGGATGACAAAATAGAGATCGCTACAACCAACCTCCCAGTATGCTGCAAATGCCGATATGAGCTTAAAAAAAACTAGCACTTGAAACCCTAAACTGATGTTAATAAAAAATATGTATAGACTGACTTTGTAAAGTAGATTTTTTGTTGTTTGCCCTAATTTAAGTTCTATAAAATAGATTACTTATTTATAGAATTATATAAGATAGGACTGTGCTAGGCATTTAGAATTTTCATCGTAAATAAATAAGTTATTTGCATTCTATGTATATTTTATTGATAAACAAAACCGACGTGAAAACGACGAGATAGTCCTCAAGTATACCTAAGTATAAGGACAGCGGAGGAAGGAGGAAGGATTTCTAGGTACTTTCATAGACCTATTAATGTAACCTTTGTTATATGTATACCTATGAATGTAGCTAGCAGTATTTTTTTATGATTAAGTTTCGTGGATTTTATTATTACCACTACAATACGTTTGTTAGTAGGACTACGAATGTTTGCTCATAACTAATTTGAAGGCGCCAATACCAGTTATTAAAGAAAATGCATAGTGTACCTACGTGCTCATTGCCGAAATTTTTAACCTTCACTCACATTGTAAAAAGTCCCTTATATATGTTACTATACTATATACTGTATACTTTCACAACCAACTCATCTCAGAAGCATTGAATCTCTTATTGTTATTTTATTCTCTTTTGTAACATAATTTTTCTCATGTTTCCGCATGCTTACATAAAAAAGTATCAAAATAAAATAAGGGACTTGACTCAGGCTTCATAAATATGTAGTTAATCGTGTTTAAATATCCCTACCTAAACACCATTATTTTTTTATGTTATTTATTAAATCTTATTCATTTGGTACTGGCCCTAGGTTAATATCTCACAACTTAATTTTACCAGCTTAGTTGTAAATCCCTAGTCTAAAAAAATACTTATAATCTCTACTTATATCTCTAGATATTAAGTACCACTTTCTTTTTGAGGCCGATAAATCATCAATTTACTTCGACCCTGGGTGGTCAAGGAGGAGTGTCAGGCTGTAGTCGCAACTTCAACACAAGTTCTTGAAGCAATTACGTTCATGCACTACATTATACATATACAGATTAAACGATTAAATAATATATAATTGTTGTCACTCGATCATTTTGTTCAAAAGTTAGCTCCTATATAAATATACTAAGGTACTCCTAAGTATTAGTAAGTCATAACACGTTCAACGGCTAAGTCATGACGTAATTTTTAACTTCAGATGATAACACGATTATAAAATAAGTTGCGCTGGAATGGCCAGTGGCCTATTTAGACATTTTTTTTTTATTTGATTATTTCAGGAGTTTCTTAGTACCTACTACTGTTGGCTGGCTCGCTTAGCAAGGTTTACCTTATTGTAATCATTAAGTACTGGCACGTCGCAACGGGCCTCAGGGGTGAGGCCGGAATACGCAACGTGGACTGTGTCTGTTTACGCTAAGGAGTGCTGGTTTCCCTACGGCTCTCTTTTAGAGGGGGTTATGGACTGATCTAGTTTGTCGAGACTGTGGAGAATTATGGAGATTTGGACTGTTTTGTATCGATCGCCGATACTATGAGGAGGAAATGATTTTTGATTGCTTGTGAAATTTATGTCACCTACAAACTGGCATATGTACCTACTTTTAAATATTTTTAGAATACCTACCTACTTAAGTTTTGATACTTATCATTTAAGTCTGTTAACATACATTTGAACAATATTGACAATTACATAAACAAATCCTTTCCGTGATAATGCAAAACAATAAAAGTCAGTAAAATTTAATCTTAAAATGGGGCTACGTTTTTTCTAAAAAAGACAGAAAAAAAGCAACAACAATCATAAGCTCATCTCGCAGTAGCTCATGCATACCAATAAAATTTCAATCCTTCCATCTATCTGCAAACAGATCAATACTTGGATTAGATTCCAGGAGATCGTAAGTGAGACCAGAGACCAGAGTCTAAGGAATTCGTGTTTTGTTGTGGGGGAATGCTGCTGACATTCAGTCTATTTTTGTTCTGCAGAAAAGGGCTATTCGATCAATCTATAATCTTAGTCCGAGGCATTCGCTCAGAGAATTATTTAAGGAAACTAAGATAATGACGGTTGCCTCACAATATATTTATGAAAATGTAATTCACGCTCATAAAAACAAAAGCTTATTTAAGAAGCATAGTGATATACATAATATTAACACGAGGGGGAAAAACAAATATGTTGTCCCTGCCTCCAGGCTTCAGAAAATAACTAGTTCGTTTAGATGTCAATGTATACGCTTTTACAATAAAATTCCTAGCGATATTCAAAATTTGAGCCTCAATAAATTTAAAAGTGTAATAAAGGCTAAATTTTGCTGTAAAGCATTTTATAAAATAAAAGACTACTTAGAGGATAGTCAGGCATGGGAATGAGCCGCTGTAATGTCTGCACAGGTCATGTTGACATGTTTGTAACATAAGTTACACTTTTATATACAATTTGACATTACGTTTATTTTTTATACAATGACATAATCACCTATTGTGACATTTTATTTTTTATTTGTCATTTTTTTTTATTTATTTATTGACATTTTTATTATTTTATATTATTGTTAGTGTAAGGACCGTGTGAGACTTGCCGTGCTTTTTGATTACCAGTTATCTGCGTTCTGACAGTTTGAGTACTTGCGCGACCCACCCAAATGTTCTTTAGATCGGTATTGTTCGTCGGACAACTCAGCAGCACTAGCTATACTGGTTGCAAACTGACACTTGCGTGCCTGTCTTCAGAACGGGTCCACTTAAACTGGTGTGGTTCTTTCCTCAAAAGACCACTACAGAATGAACTTGCACGATTCTCTCACATTATGTTATTTTTACATTGTCTGGACTTGAAAAGAGACTGACCTCTGAGTTTGTTTCGGCATTTCTTCTCAGAGTAGTCAGATAGGAAATGCCGGCTTCATCTAGTTTTTCACATATAAATTGACGTGTAAAAGTGCCGTTTTATGGCCTATTTGCAAAAATAAATTCATTGTTTCATTGTTTCATCGTGACTAACTAGAGAATTTTGTTTCTAAATGATCGTGTAAAATAGAGCAATAATTTCCGTACAAAACTATCCAGGAAAGACATACTGTCGCGTGCTTCCCTTATAACATAACTTTGTAGCATTCTACGTATATGAGACGAGGAAAACAATCTATCCTCAACTAAGTTATCCTTCTAAGTTGTATTATTTTTATTTCTCTAGGCAGTAATCCATATAGTTTATACATGTAGACAAACTTACCTTTTTTAGGACCTCAAAAACTACTCCCACCTTGAGAGGAGCGAGAAATAATATCAGACGCTTAGGGACTAAAAACCAACCCATCCTTTCTTCTGCCCTAGGCCTGTCCCTTGGGATATTATAGCGTATCTGTACTACTATGTACCTCTTTATGGTTAAAAATATGAAGGTTTAAAAAAATTACAAAGGGAATAAAGTTATCAATTAAAAGTATTTTGTGTAAATGCTACCATTTTTAACGAAACTCGCGTGTTCCATCCCGTAATTCAATGTTTATGTAAATTTTGTTTTTTCGTCGCGTAAGGAAGATATTTTTTTATGTCTCATCCTTCATACAACATTTGTATCACTTTTTTAAGAAAATAAAATCTTTTTGATATTTGTTTTAATTGAATTTTCTAAATTTTATCTTTATTTTATTGCATTTTGCCTTCCCCACCCCCAATCCCTCCTCAATCCCTAAATCTCCAAATCCCTAATCCCTAAAAGGTCGGCAACGCACTCGTGACTCCTCCGTTGCGGGTGTCCATGGGCGGCGCTGATTACTTACCATCAGGTAATCCGTCTGCTCGTTTGCCGATCTATTACATAAAAAAACCAATAATTAAAATTAAATAATGGAACTATAATAGCATATTGATATGAATTGAATAGAATATGAATGTGGTGGTTTTTTAATAGTTCGGCAAACGAGCAGACGGATTACCTGATGGTAAGCAATCAGCGCCGCCTATGGACACCCGCAACGGAGGAGTTACGAGTGCGTTCCCGACCTTTTAGGGAGGAGAAAGATTGGAGGAGGGGAAGGATTGGGCCTCCGGTAACCTCATTCACACGACGAAACACAATGCTGTGGTTGTTTCACGGTGGTTTTTTGGTTAGGCCCTGGTATAACTCCTGTTGAGTTGTGCCGAAGTATGGTACCACCCATTTGTGCCGAAGTATGTTTCTCCCATACTTAACAAAATTATGATAAAAACCAATAATTTTATGGAGACTATTGACGTCATATTATTAACACTATTACAAGGAGAATTTTGTTCGTAAGTTACACTGGCTCAAAAAAATATGAGTAACTCTGGGTAATAGAATGCGTTGTTGCACGTTTTGGCAGGGGCACTCCCGTACCAAAACATATCGGTATATTAAGTTAATGTGTGTATCACAAAGACGAAATATTTATGGAAATCTGAAGATGTCCCCATTTTGTCCTCAAACTGTCAAGCTATTCCTTAAGTCTCAATTAATTCAGGAAATCCCTAACCGTTTTATTATTCCATTCTTAGTAAAACTACTTACAACGTCACAAAACTTGGCTTTTTCCCTCTAAAAATAAATATAACTGTAGAACGACAATTATTCATTTCAGGAATTTATTGTAGTAAATTGTTAGGTATTCCTATGTAAACTTTAAGTAAGGTACAACATGCGCATGACTTGCAAAAAGCGATCCTGACCTAGTTTCGCTGACGTTAACATTTAGGAATTGCCCTGTTACATTTTATCCTAGTACAGCCTAGTACAAATCAAGTATAAAATAGGGATTTTTATTAAATACTTAGCTTAATGTAGTTAATAACCTCTAAGACATTTTTTTTCATCTATTGTTCTAAAAATGCCATTACTAAATGTATATTGGACAATGATATAAGATTCAAGTAGCTAAATAATTTAAATTCTCATAAAACTGTGACTATGATTTTGATTATTGAATGCTAGATTTTAATGATTGAATTCTAGACTTTAAATACGGGCAAATTGAAAAACTTAAAGTCTAAAATTCATATGTTTGAAACTGTAAACACGACTTAACAACACAGAAGAAAACCAACATGTTTAAAAATTTAATGAATTGAGAGTTTGCACTTTATTATCATTATCAATTCCGTTCTCCAAGACGATTTAACTGCTAGACTAGAGACTAACGGTCCTCCACACCGAACCACTACTAACCGCGGGGATCCAAAGTCAATGCAAACAATATAAAAGCTATCTAATTAATAAATTTACAAACAGTTGTAATCGTGGGTGTTATGACAGTACCTTGAATATACGTTAAACCAAATTCCAACAGTTTACGTGACGTTTCTTGTAAAAAATATAAATACAAAGAATAGGTTCACCGTACGCTTAAGTCAGTAAGTGCCAAGAGAGGGACCGGAGTGCGCGTGTCTTTTACATACATACATATGTCAGATTGAACTAAAGAAATACAAAACGTGAAATTATGTATCTGGGAATTTATCTTCTATTCGTGAGTATCCTTAACATATACTTAATATTTGTGATAATAGTTATTCTTATCTTTTAACTTTTTGTAGTCTAAACGGTTATTATTTATATACATTTGCTTGTACCTACTAAAATAGACCTTAGTCGGTTAAGAAGCTTGTTTGTATTTATCGATACACGATCAAGGTAAAATGTTGATTTTTATCAAATTGAACCTATATCGGATTATTTGATCATAAAATAATGAACAGGTGAGTTTTAATACAAATAAAATTACTAATATAAAAAATACATTATCAACATTTTGTGTTTTAAACCGTGAATATTAGGTATGCAAAATGTAAATATTAGTTATTGAAACCATAAATATTATTTTTCTTAAAAGCCTTCAAAATCTTCCAATGACAAAGATGTAAGAATATCAATTTCGGTGCTAATTATACATATTCCAGCAATAGTTACAGTTTCATTTACACAAATTTAAATTATATACATATTTTATTTGCATAAAAATCAGTACAGTAGTTTAACCTGGAAAAGTAATATAACAATATTCATCCATTTATTCTTACAGACTTTCTCGTTTATTGATGGAGTCCCATTTTCACCCTTCTCATAAAAGTACTTGATAGATTTAACTGTGAGATAGATCATACTAATTTTATGTTCTGTTCTATGTTCATATTGATTTGGCATATGATAGCGGCCTACCCATGAAATGTGAAATACGCCGCAATTATTAATAATAAATCAAGTTCCTATTTATTCCGTTATCAATTATTTGTATCTTGAACCCGACAAATTGCAACAATAAAGAGGTCGTTAAATAAATTGCGACAACTGTATAGACAGTTAATTAAAATGAACTCTTGACCTTCAGTCAGCTAAACTTCTTAAAAAATGGCTAAGTGCGATTGTAACTAAAAGTGTCTTTTGCAACATTTTATTTAATTACTTATACAACTTTCTAGTACAATTATTAATACTAGTAAAGTGTTATTTGTAGTTAATAGAAAAATCAAAGACATGCTCTTAGACAAAAAAAAATCTCTAGTTTTACTATGGAGTCCGAAAAAGAAAATACATAGGTAATCTATGTTAATGTTTCAGGTACATGTCTGAAAAATATTGAAATCGTAATCACTAAGAAATACTTATTCAGACTCGTACCTTAGTTGAATAGATTTTACATATTTTGTTAATTTTATTTGAACCTTCCTCAATAAAACTTACTGCTATTTATAAATCACAACCTACGTTTAGATTCAATGATTCAGTGATTAATAAATTTAATGGTTTAATATTAGCTACCGTGTGACTTTGGCACCGAACTCCATAACATGATTAAGATTGAACACTATGGGGAGAATAGAGGATCTCAAAGCGATTTTATAGTTAATATCATTAACTGATTTGGTAAACAGGTACCTACAATAGAATCAATTGTTTGGTTACTGAACCTACCAATGGTCACAAAAAATGTCTTTATTAAAAATCATATAATTTAGTATAAGAATAACTACTTTCTTTACATCTCATTTTCTTAGCTGAATCCAAAATACAGTGAGGATTATGTCCTCATTTGATCAACTTCATGATCAAGGCCTTGTCCCAGGTTAATGACGTTAATCTTATTCAAGCGCAATAACACAAGTTCATAATAAGTACTTGCCTCTATAACTAGATAAGTTTACTGACTAGTTTTCTCACGTACACTGTTTTTGTGTAAGCAAACTCAACTAGGGTCGTAGTCCTAACCTGTTATAATAACGACAAGTTAGTCATGTTTCCCTCTATACTTGTATGTACTCACTCTAAAACTAGTACCTAATTTACACTAAGAAACTAATCGTGGAGAGCCATGCTTTGGCACGAATGTACTCGACCGGAGGATTGCCATGTTTACATGTCGTGAAACATTTCTTGATTTATTTTCGCCGTGTAAATATGGTTTACCGAAGGCTTATTTATTCCAGCCTCCCAATGCAAGTGTCCAAGGGAAATAATTGTAGGCAGTCACGTAAAAATACACTGATTTACTTACAACTTTCATCTTTTTTAATTTAGGTCTTAACTAAAATTCTGAAATATCATGCCTTAAATGAGAAGAACTGTTAAAAAGTAAAAAGGGAAGCAGTTAAAGAAACAATATGTACTTACTAAAAAAGAGTAAGTTTAAGAAACAATATTTATTGAAATCAAAATTAAAATACTTATATATTTTTAAATTTAAACAATAACATTTACGTACTTAAAGTTTAGTAACTTATCAAAAGCATTTTGTTAGTGTTAAATTCCAAAACAACACTCATCTCATTATTTATGGATACTTGTAAATAAATTTTCACATAGAATATAAAATGACATCACGATAAATAATAACAGTTCCTCTCATTGGACGCGACAATTATAGCATTATTTATCCAGGTTGCGGCATTGAACTTCAATAAATTAATCAACGTTGATAAGTAGGTACCCATATGGCATGTACCATATGTATACTGTTCACACAGTCACTGTACATAAGTACACATATTCAAATCACGCGCATGTAAATATTGTTTTTTTCTTTAGCACGCTTTTTTATGTAATAGGACGGCAGTCGAGTACACCGATCATTTGATGGTAAGCAAACGGCGGGCGTCACGAGTGTGTTGTCGGCCTTGTGGTGATTAGGGGACGGGGGGATAAGGTCAGGATGAGGATGCGACCTCCAGTAACCCCGTTCAAACGGCGGATACAACACTCCGGTTGAGCCGGCTTATTCGTCACAGCATGGCTCTACACACTTAAACAGAAATCTTTCGTGCAGTAATCTTTCATTTAAGGATTATTTAAAATTTACTGCATAATAATATGTCGTCTTCTTACAGTCTTTCTGTCAATTTTATTAATACTTTGAAACTAAGGTTTGTTGTCCCACATTTTCAGTATGGTCTTTACAATTGTTGTAAATATTAAAAATCATAAATTTCGGTCAAGGTAAATAATTTGACGTTAGTGTATTTCCCATTAAGTAGTTATATGTTGAATTTATGTATATTCCTATTATTTAAGAAAAGACTCACGTGTTAACGAGCGGCCTGCGATGTGACGTAAAATGACGACAATGGGATACGCGAAGTTACACTCTGAAAGATGAGTCACCGAGAAATACCGGTTTGCGTCATTAAAATCGAAATGATCTTAAAAAACTTTGCATTTTAATTATATTACGATATATGTTGTATACTTACTATGCTATTTATATACTTTATTAAGTAGGTAAATAACGTGACTGTCTCGTTTGGAGAGGGGTAATAGCAGAAAATTATTGGTATGACATATTATCAAGGTCAAGCAAAATAATATTTTCCATTCTTGAACTCCCAGCCCTGCCTACAAATGCTAAAACCCGCAGTACACATTGGCCCAAGGTATTGGGCCAACCTATTGGCCCAACGTGTAGAGGACTACTTGGCGATATGTTGGTAGCGATGTTGCGGTTGGCGCCAATATTGGCGAGCAGTCCGAATGTTGTCGGTTTTTTATCCACTAATCAAAGGATTGAGGCACGCCGCTACCAACATGCCGCCAAGTAGCCTTCTAAATGTTAAGCCAATAGGTTGGCCCAATATTTTGGGGCAGTATGTACTGCCGACTTTACAATAATATTGAGTTAGGTAATCTTTTGTTTGGAAATTTGAACCTTTAGCAGGCTTCAGCATTGTGTCAACGTGTAAAATTTTGCGAAATTCACATTTTATAATGATTGCCGTTTTATCTGTTCCAGTGTTTGCTGAGCAGCTTGCAGCTAACAAACGGAGCATCAACAACAAAAAGTAAGAAACTCTCTCAAATTGATAATAAATAATCACGTGCAAGTTTTTTTTATGGAAAATGGTCGTCAAACAAACAGGCGGATTACCCGATGGTAACACGGTGAAAGACAACGCTCTCGTTGTTTTACGCCGGTTTTCTGTGAGGCCGTGGTTTCACTCCGTTCGAGCCTACCCATTCGTACCAAAATTAAACTCTCACAATTCACTTTTTTTCATAATCAAAAATAAAAATAAACTTTTCATATTAAACTTTTTTATAATAAGGTTTACTCAAATGATGTGTACAAACTTATTTGGTTTACTTAATTCCAGATGGCGATTCTTCAACAATAGTTTTCCCTGGTCCAACACAAGACATAAGGAATCGCTACGGAGACGCTGTACCCGAAAAGTGCAAAGATCTAAACTTCTGTACTGTGAAGCCTAACGATTACCCCCAAGATCTGTTTAATAAAATATTTAAAGGAAAATTTAAGGTTAGATTATTATACACAATAAATAATAAATATAAGAATCATTATTATAATTATCATAAATAATATAGACTGAAGTTCATGGATAAGGGCAAAAATGAAAATTCACACCAACGACTGAACCTCTATTCATTAATTCCTTTAATTCCGAATATATTATTAGTAGGCATATTTAAACCTCTACGCATTTTTTAAATAGATTTAAAAGTTAACTTAGTGAGAGTTATCAGATTCGAAATTTAACAGCAACTCGTGTAACTGAAGCACAAATTAGGTATGTTAATAAAAAAATGTTTACATTTCTAATTTTGAAATAATTGCAGGAGCCAATTTTCCAGCCTACATTTGTGATGACAGATGATCGCCAAGGAGATCCAGATGAAGTCGATGATTGTGATACTGTTGTTACGGTAAATATATTATGTATATTTAATGAATAAACTAAATAAAATCCTACATTAGTAATTTAATTTATCAGTTTTATTGAATCTAAAACTGATTAATTGTATAAAGAGTATAAGATTGATCTAATCTCCGGGACAGCTGATCCGATCATTATTATCTCCTTACAATACCAAAAAAACATCAAAAATTTAATAATAACTAATGACAAAAATATTTTAAAATTTTGCGTTTAATCAATAAACGTTATTGGATTTATTTTTGTTTCAACCTCAGTGTATGTATTACCTGACGTTAATTAAACTCATAGATACGTTTAGTTTTAATAAAGAGGACATAAAATTAAGGAAATAAAATTAGATGTGTTTCTAAAGCTGTATATTACTAAATGCACTCAATGTTTTTTATAATATAATAAAACAGGGTATTGTTTAAATTTTCAGTTCGAACCGCTTTACAAAGTGAAGTCCCTGGAAGGAGAATGGCGTACAGTAGTCCAAGCTCCAGAAGAAAACTATTTACAAATGGTGCGAATCGAATCATGCAAGTAAGTAACTACATAAGTTATTGTGATTTTTTTATTACTGTTCTGCTGTTTGATTGAAGTTTAACAAAGTATGTTGGAGGTCAGCAAAACCTACTAAAAAGTTCAATGTTTGCTTTTCACAGATTTTTTATTGTGTTACATTATGTTAACACAAACTTATTCCAAATGGTATTTATACCAATAAGAGTTTTTCTTAGTTTGCTTTATTCATATGATGTGTATATCTATATATTATCGAATAATGTTCTAACATTTATGCAGCATCCCAAATATTTACCAAATTTTAAAAACACTTTGTGGTCTAGACTAGTATCACAGCATTCCTTGCAGTGAAAGTTCGTTAGAAGTTTGATTGAGTTTTGTACCTATTGCAATTTTTACGTTTTATCACCATTAATTTACATGATTTTCAAATATAACATGACAAAATTTTGTAGTTTTAGTTTGCGATTTCTCCTTTATTTATTATTTATTATACTTTACACTCAAATTGCGTTTAAACTTGGTTTAGAATTAACTAAGTTTACACGAATGAGAGCCAACCTAAGCATTTTCTTTTAATTTGCAACTAATGCAGTGCAAATTATTTCGCAAAGTAAAACAGTAAAACTATAATTTACAGTATTAATGCTACCATAGGAATGGCGACATGACATGGCATGCTACATCTATGCTATACCATGGGATGCTCTACATAGTTCAAAAATTGTATATGGATTCCATGGGACGACAACTACCTAGGTACATTTTCTTATTTTATATTACAGATCAGTGGGAAATCCCTGTTTCACATCCTTCAGGGACCCTACAGGGCTGAAACCATTTTGCAAACAAAAGTATAGCGTTTGGGAGTTTCTCGTTCATGATGGTAAAAACGGAACAGAAAAAATTAAAGTCAATCTGCCCATCTGCTGTGCCTGCCAATATAAGAGGTCACAGCTATAAAGCCGGCTTTACTAAAATGGGACGACGAAATAAAAAGAATAATGATCTTTGGTCACATAACCTTCGGTGGTGCTATGAAAAAAAAATCTCGTTGGTCGGGGGGATCGCAAGATGAACGTGCCTTGGAAGATTTCATATTCAAGTATTTATTATTTTTCTAAATACAAAGTAATAGCGTAGAACGTGCAATTTGGCACGGCAGGTGTATAGCAATAAGATCTCATCGCTATAGCATTGCAAGCAAAATAGGAAAAAAGTGGTTATCTTTAATAATATCTGTAATACACCTCTGCCAACATTTTTTTATATAAATGAATACAGCTTCTTCGTCTGCTATAGGCTATAGTTAGGCTATAACAATATAAAATTAAGTTAACTTATGACATTTAAAATATTAGTGCATAAATTCTTATTTATTTAGGCTACCTGTGTATGTTATTACTAGTCATATTAAATAAAAACTATTAACTAAACCTTATTTCGTTTATTTTTCCATCCTGAAGTTTTAACAAAATCTTGCTCATGGCACCGCACAGGTGCCACCTATATTTTTATGTAAAGCGTGTGTTGATAAGTTTACACTCAAGAGGGCCTTTTTAGCGAGAAGAAAATGATGAAATGGTTTTTGCCCCAGAGCGAAGCGCGCCAGCGCGCAAGCTGTAGACGCGTGCGAGCGTTTAGGAGGTTTGCCGCCTCCCCAAGAGGACCTAAATTGACTAAAGTAGTATACACTCCTTTTAAAATTGTACAAATATTGTTAAGAAGTACCAACTATCAACTAAAAAGCCAAAACAAAGTGGAGCCGAAACGAACTCCGCGATTCACAGTTATTAAGTATTCTACGATCAATCTTGGCTACTTTACTTGTAACCTTATGATATAATTTCTAAACCTATAATCAGAATAATTTTTAATTTTTGGGGGGTAGAAAATTCATTCTATCATTAAATGACTTATCTTGCCTTATCTATTAAAATATTTAAATTTTGCGTTTATATTATTTATTACCCGACTACGGCAAAGCAAAAGGACGGTTCTAAAATCTAATATGGCGTCCTCTAGTAAAATTTAGATTTTACTAGAGGACGCCATTATAGGACATACATTTAGAGTAAAAAAATAAAGTTAAGATAAATAGTATAGATATAGATAATAGTAAATTTACTTGTACATTCTGAATAAATCTGAAATCTTATTTTTTACTTTTTCAGCGTCGGTTTTATGTCGTAGTTGGGTTTTAGTTTTTATACTTTTTATTATTAAAAATAATGTTTACATTAGTTTTAACAAATATTTCCTGTTCTTCATTACTCTATATCTAAACAAATACGTTCATTAAGGATAATAATGCAGATTAAAATTATACACTACCTATATATTTATCAGATAGGTACCTAGTTCATAAAGTTATATGATGTCATTCTTTCCAACCTAGGTACCTCCTGACTGCGCTTCAGCGCTCCTGACCGTTTCGGCACCGCCGAAACGGCCCTTACGAGCTTTTTATACAAAAGTTCATATTAAAAGGGCCTCCCCAATTGCACGCCACTGAGCTCGATGTTCAACTTTTCTCATCCAACCACTGCCAGCCACCCTGCGGATGTCGTCAGTCCACCTAGCTGGAGGGCGCCCTACACTACGTTTGCCTAGACGTGGTCTCCACTCTAGAACACGTTTAGTCCAGCGGTCATCGGTTCTTCGACAGATGTGACCTGCCCACTGCCACTTCAGTTTGCTAATCCTTTGGGCTATGTCGATAACTTTAGTTCTCTGTCGGATCACCTCGTTTCGAATACGATCCTTCAGAGAGACTCCAAGCATAGCCCTTAGCTCCATAGCTCGCTGCGCGACTTTAAATTGGTGGATCAGTCGCACTGTAAGTGTCCACGTCTCGGCTCCGTATGTCATCACTGGTAGGACGCACTCATTGAAGACTTTTGTCTTCAGGCTTTGCGGTATCTTTGACGCGAATACTCGACTGCGTATCCTATACGCTGCCCAGCCAAGCTGTATCCTTCTACGAGCCTCCCTCTCGAAGTTGTTTCTACCGAACTGGATAGTTTGTCCGAGGTAGACGTACTCTTGAACGACCTCGAGAGGAGATCCATTGATGGTGATCGGATCCGGGAGAACATGTTTATTGAACATGACCTTCGTTTTTTGTAGGTTCATCCGGAGTCCGATGCGAGCAGAGGAATCAGCCAGGCTGTTCAGCATATATTGTAAGTCCTGCACGGTTTCAGCCACGATTACAATGTCATCTGCAAATCTCAAGTGTGAGAGATACTTGCCGTTAATATTTAGGCCCCGGCCTTTCCAGCGCAGTGTCTTGAACATATCCTCCAAAGCATTAGTAAACAGTTTGGGGGAAATAACGTCCCCCTGTCTTACCCCCCGATGCAGGTGGATAGGTTCAGACTGCTGGTTCTGTAATTGAACGACCATAGTGGCAGCATCATATAGATCTCTCAACACTTGAACATACCGCCAGTCGACTTGGCACCGTTGCAAGGACTCCAGAACAGCCCAGGTTTCGACAGTATCAAAGGCTTTCTCGTAGTCCACAAACGCCAGGCATAAGGGCAGATTATACTCTTCGGTTTTCTGTACAATCTGCCTCACTGTATGTATGTGGTCCACGGTACTATATCCCCCTCGGAACCCGGCCTGCTCGGGGGGCTGAAACTCGTCGAGTCTTCGCGCGAGACGATTTGTTATGACTCTAGAAAACAGCTTATAAACGTGGCTCAAAAGAGAAATAGGTCGGTAGTTATTCAGAAGGGTTTTGTCTGCCTTTTTGAAGAACATAATGACGACACTTTTGCCCCACCCCCATGGAGTTCTCCCCGAGAATAGAACGGAATCAAACGAGCGTTTAAGTCGCTCAAGCACTGGCTATCCACCTGCCTTTAGGAGCTCGAAAAATATACCACGAATCAATAACCGATGCACTAATTATACTTACTAAAAATATACCTCGAAACATTAGTTATAACTATATGTAAAATAATTCAATTATTTCTCATCATATCACACCGCAAGAACCATTCATTTCTAACAACTTTTCAGCACATCAAAATTAGTAACAAATACTTACTTTATTTCATAGCATCATTAGCGAAATCATTTTTCAGAAGAAATTTTTAAATAACTTGAAATTTCACTGATTAAAATGTCGAAAGTCTACTGTATACCTAATATGGTATACCTAGGTGTAACTAAATAACAAAGTATAATAAAATTCTTATCTATTTAAAATATGTACTATAAGTTCTTTTTTCGTTTATGAAAAATAAATAATTATTGTCGATCCTTCTCGAACATTGGTGCCGTTACAATACCTGCATTAAACTTCAGACATTCTGTTTAACTTGACAAGGACCTACTCTTGCAGTTATTATAACTTAGAACTGGTTCTGGTTGCTCGCAAGCCACTTTGCAAAGCTTTCTCCAAGATAAACGGTAACGAGCATCGTTATTGACTTAATCATTTGATAAGTGCTACGATAAATACGCGACAGGCGTACAAGTAGTTTCTCTACAAGTAATTACGTCGCAGTTTCTGTAAACAGAAAACAGAAAATACATTTATATATATATAACAATTTGTACCTACCTACCTTTCTTCGAATTAAGTGACTCGGCATCAAAAAAGTTCTCTTGGATCCGTTCATTTTAATCGTACACTCTTGTCAGAGTAGTAGTGATCTTTCAATTTTTTCTGTTAGTGGCATTCCTCGCGCACTCCTCTATTGAGGTCGATTTTACTGATTTTATAAGTTCCGTCCATCTAGTTGGTGACATACCACGAGGACGCTGACCCTCTGTTCTCCCTTACAGCACCAATCATTCCATTGAGTCTTCGTTATAATATGACCAAACATTTTAAGAGTTCTTGCTTGCACAATCGAAGAAAGACTTTGTTTCATGCGAAGCTCTTTTAATATGGATACATTGGAGCGGTGCCCAGCCCAGCTTATCCGCAGTAGTCGTTTCAAGCACCACATTTCTAGCGCGTCCATTCTGCCACGATCCCTTTGAAGAACCGTCCATGTTTCCGCCTCGTAGATAAAGATAAGAAAAACTAAGCATCGCATCAGACGAACGTTGGTATTTTTGGTTATGCGCCTGTCTTTCCAAATCTTCCTGAGCTTTTCTACAGCCAATCGTCCCAGCGTATCTCCTCCTCACAACTCCTAGTGTTGGTAATGGTAGAACCCAATATACTGCATGTTAAATGAAGTAAGTATATGAACCCTTAAATTAGCACTAATTATTTTACAATTACATTGACGCTCGTGGTTAGGGCAAGATGTCACTATACTATATATTTGTCACTAACCCTAAATTCACTGCACATTTCATCAAAGCAAAGTGATAGATACCTTATAAATTGCGATCTCCATCGGACGTCCCTTTTTGTAGAGGAGGCCCACCTAGCAGAGGACTCACACCATGCTGTTGTTGGTATGATGATTGTTACATTTTTGCAAACACTGATATCGTAGAATCTAAAGCTTTGGCTGTTAATAACAATAAGCCCATTTCTTTTGAAACGTGATCGGTATTTAAAGTAGGTATTTTTACCTCTGTCGTACCCTTAGCGTGCTGTCGACTATTTGACCGGCCGAATTATGACCTATATTGTGGTTAGCTACAAAATTCAATTACATAATAATATTAACAAAATAGTACTAGCTGATAATATTTCCCCTGATATAATATAACAATGAACCTAAAGAGACCGAAAAAAAAGAGGGAAGATAATGCGACAAAAAAATGAAAAAATATCTGTAAGTGCACGTCAAAAAATGTATGAAGAAAATAGCACGTGTATTGTTCGTCCTACTGTACATATCTACTATGTACAAGGCGGTGTGTTCATTAAGCAACCAAATGAAAAGAAAACGTTCGTCTTAACCATACATACACATATAATATACATTATAATTGTGATTTTTTACGTATAAATACCGATATAATTACATTTCTTACGCTTATTTAAATAAATGTACCGTGAGATTGTTTCATTTTTGAAACAATGCAAATCCCGCTGCCCCTTTAAACATTTTATTTATTTTACATAGTTAATGTCATTTGATTTATATTATAGATGTATATTAGGTTTTTTAGATATTTATTGAAAGTAATGACTTTAATTTTAACTGAAAAAAGCTCAAGAAATTTCAAATCATAATGAGACTCTTATTCAATAACAGTTCAATTCGCGATGACGCACGCGACGTTGTGTAGGCGACGTTTATTCTTGTTTCTTTTCTCAATTATTTCACGCAAGTTAATCGTTATTTTTAATACAATGTTTACGTCTCCCGATATTTGCTATACAAAAACAGGTTGCTTATTAGTAATGTTAAGTAGGTATACACACTAATTCAGATTAAAACGTGTGCAATATTTTCCTTTTACATTGATTAGAAATGGGTATTACATGTATGTATAGTATGGTATTAATTATACAATAATTGATAAGAAATTCATAATGGTATTAATAATAATATTACTAAAGAATATTAACAAAGGAAAACTCCATGTTTAGGGTTGTAGTAACGCTAATATTTTATATCGATATTATTAAAATCGCTACTTATTTTTATCTACTAATTACATTTAACATATTTAGGTTTTATTTACAACTACTATTTTTATGTAAGGGGTGACAGGCATTGTGTTTGTATTTAAATGAGTCACAGGGCCAAATTGACGGCTTGAGGCCAATACATCCGATACATGCCAAAAAGAAACAATAGTTGTAGAAAATTAAAATTAAAAGAATATAATTATTTTGTTCACATTTGAAGGTACGACTTCATAAAAATCTTACAACTATGCATGGGATAAATAATTATACATTGTTGTCAAATTTTTTGTTGGCCACAATCGAGCAAATCGAAGTATTATTTTATCTTAAAACGTCCACTCTTTTCACAAAAGATCGACAAAATAAAGAATCTTCTTTATATTTTTCAGCTTTTCCCAATACGAGTACATTCAACCCTTTCACTGCCAACGCGGTCAATGTTGACCGACGCTAACGGAAGATTTACCTTCAACAGATTTCGTCAGCAGGTAAAGATATGCCAACCTCATCAACACGGTCTCGTTGATGAGGTTGGCATATGGAGACGCTCGGTCAATACAATTTCAAGTTAAAGACTTAAGTCTCTCGTTCTAAAATCTTCAATTTATTGGACTAGCTTCTTCGAATGTGGTTAATAGTCGTCCAGGACGATCCTCGTCTCCGAAGTATTCACTGTGGGCTTGGAATTCACACCTCACCAAGTCTATCCGCACCATCTTCAACGTATTAGAAGCTAAAAATAGATTCCGCAAAAAAATCTTTGCTCAACAAATTTGGACATCTCTAAAAACTAAACTCACAAAACGACGCGTATGTCAAAAGCTTATGAATATTGTGACATTTAAAATTGACATACTCGTACATGTCGGTGACAGTACTACAAAACTACAAAAATAATTTGGTAAGACATAAAGAACATTTGGGTAAGTAGCGCAAATACTCAAACTATCAGAACCTAAATATTATAACTATTACCTAGTCAAAAAGCGCGGCAAAAGCCAAAATCTAACCTGGATTGAGTCAGTACCTACGATGTGGCAACCTAAGTACCGAAGCTTCTTAGAGTTGGGGGCTTCAATAAACGGTCAGGAATTCAGAAAGAGTGGGAAGATTTACCCCAAGAATTCATAATAACATTAATAAAGTCTAAAAAAAGGATGGAAGCTGCAATAAAAGCACGTCGGGGGGAATACAAGCTACTGAACTGAAAGTTTATCTATTAGTAGATAATTCTATTTCTTAGTCATTCTTAACAAATCTAATGACTTTTATTAGCTTCACTTTCAATATTATTCATTAAAAAATTGAGAGATTCTGGTCTGGGTGTAATTTGTATGTGAAGTTATGTTTGTAAAGGCACCCACGGCACAGTAGAAAATCCTAAAATAGGGCAACGTTTTTTGGAAAAAACAAAAAATTCTAACCGTTTTAGTTATTCCGCAGTAAAATCAATAAATCAAAAGCTGCTACATCCCAATCTTAGACTTACACTTACCAAAAAGTGTGAAAAGTATTCACTAAAAAACTTTCGATTTTTATTTATCGCATTCTGAACTAACGCTTACGGGTCGACTTTTTTTGCGTGTTTATTTATAATATGTTTTTATACCTACATATTTACTAAATATTTTAAATATCTTATAAGTATCTAATTATCCACGTACCATTTTGAGTAATGTGAAAAAACCTACTTTGATCACCTGCTCATTACAAAATTCTTTTAAATATAAACGCGAAGACCATTCATAGAGTTTAAACAAAACTGTGGTACTAACAAGCACTTCGGCAAATAGTACAGAACATAATAAGTAAAACAAACCTTTGAACTTGCCAGTGAATAGGTCAAATATAGTCTGCAATATTAAAATCGAACAGTAGGATGTCCTTACATTTCACCAGTATAGAGAGGTCTTCTTCGCCTCTGGTGTACTATAAAAAATACATCGAAGGGGGTATTTGTATAGTGAATGGAAAGTTCTCAAGACACTGGTTGTGTGAGAACGCGACAACACGTCTTGAACCAGGCCGGTCAGTTCAACTGCTCACGTCAGTTGACATCTGTCCGCGAAAACAGGTGTACGTGCCATTACAATCGATATCGGTGTTTCGCTTAAACCGCATGCCTACGTCATATCAATACATAAATAGTGTCGCGGTTCGATATGTAATTATTGAGTGACCACTATCCGTTGAGGCCGGATTTATTAAAAATATGTTTTGAGTACCTGCCACAAGTGCTTAACGATGGCCTGGACCCTGTATTTATTCGTTGGGATATCCATTGTGAGTATTACTTATATGTACTTCATTCATCAAATATTGCAATCATGTCGATGTAAGTAAATATAGAATTACTATTCTATCCTATAGTACTTAAAATAAATTTGAATAGCAAAACTAAAAAAATATTTTTATACACCTACTAAGTACACTAATGGCATAATTTTCTAAACATAAACTAAAGTCATATTTCGGAGACACTCATAAAAAATATTGATTTGACTCTAAAATATTCAATAAGGTCTGATTTCGTCCAACTTACAGTATTTTAATATCTGTCTTAACGCTGCTGTTATTCAGTGTCATACAAAAAAACGGGTTAATTTCCACTCATAACAACACTCTGAATTGACACATATTCATTGATGAAATCGCTTATTCTTTCATTAACGGCAATGTGATGAAAGTAAAAGTCTAGTCACTTTTACTGGATATATCAACGAGTAATGCGTATGACGAACACGAACTATTATTGAGTGCAATTTAATGACTTTAACGAGCATTCGTTAAGAGATGTCTTACGTTTAGACATGTCTCTGTTTTTTTAATATTATCTTCTGTGTAAATATTACTAAAACGTGAATTTCCGTGACTAGTTAGAGATTATTAACGGGATCAACATTTTTAAGCAGGTACCTTTTTATAATTCGTTCAGTTTATTTTCCATTTTATTTTGCTTAATTAGTACCAATGCTAATATTGACTTCAAACTCAATAATCCATTTCACTCAAATGTCATTGGGAAAGTTTAATTGTTCCGTTCAGTGAATCATATTAATTAAATATTCGAAACCTGACGGTGGACAGAACATGCCTACTATTAAAACCTGTCTAAAAAGATATAGTCGCAACAATAATATCAAAATTACTGTTTATGTACATTTTTGTCTAAAACAGTTTTATTTTGGATTACTGTGTACATTAGGTACGTTGGTAGATATTTATAGAACAAGGTCAATCTCCTTTATCAATCCGTATATTGTATTTATTTTATTTCTTATCTAAATGAACAAATAAATGTTTATTAGCTCTTTTACAATTTTATATACGGGCTACTTCCCATAGCAATACCTACATAAAGGTTATTTTGATTTAAACACGTAGGTATTATCCAGGACATGAGGTAAGAAAATGTATTATACTCGTCAACAAATTTTAAAGAAAAACCATCGTTTGCCGGAACACATATCTAAGTAATTTTCCATTATACATAAATTTCAATCAATGTATTAAATAAATATATCTGCATAAAGCAAACGAGCAAAACAACCCAACCAAATGTCATTTTGGCCATTAGAAGGGTTGTCGTTGGGCAGACAGGCCCAAGACAAACCTTTGATAAGCAGTGAACGTCTTCCTTTAGGTGATGATGATAATGAAAGGTATATTTAATTAAAAGTTACTAAGTAGATTATTTTTATTACTGGAAGTATTAATAACATCATATAAAAAAAATACTTACATTTGTCTTTATTATTTTTACATTGCATATGTTATTGACTTAATCATTAAAAGTTAGAATAAAATTGTTATCGTAACGAAGACAGTTTTATTCAATAAATCGATTTCAAGCACGACACCATATATAAAATAGGAATAGTTATTATGCAAATACTTGACGTATTTTCCTAACAAATTATTACACATACCTTTAAGCGCAGCTACTACCTATTGTGTTCGCCTTATCTACGTGTGAACTGAACTTGTTTTTACATTGTTATATTCCACAATATAGTAGGGTAAATCTCTTCACAAATATATATCTTGATTATTGATTCTTAGTATATAATTAATATTTGTTTCACGGTCGAATTTCACTTGACAGATAGCAGGCTCAGCTCGAACTCCGTGCTAATCAGTACCTACCTTTTTAACGAGTGGAAATCCTCATGACAACCTTTTGATACCTACCAACTGCAATAATAATAAAAAACCCAAAAAACAAAACTAAATGCCTAATCATAAATTTAAAATATTTACTGTTACGATGGGATATTCCTAGCTATTTATAACGTGTGCTTTATATCTAAAATTTCCATCTTTTATATGGGCTACGCAGACGAATAAAACTACTCAAAATTAAAAATAGCTACAAAACTTACTTCAATGGAAAATACTCACGCTATACAACTAATAATTGGTAAAACCTAATAATAAAATGTGAATACAAATATCAATCTTATTAATAAATTGATCAAGAAACGGGTTTTATCATTACACCTTTGAGATTTTTTTATTTATTAAACACACTCAAAGAAAATAATGGAGATTTATCTAATAGTTCCAAATTTTGAATAGTGGTCCAGATTTACTCGAGTACCTAAGTAGGTACCATCACTTAACTAAAATGTCCTGGTACAATATTCCAATTTTGTCCCATTTTGTTTTCAATTAGATTTTGACCTGATAATACGAAAAACAATTTTCTTTTTCGGTCTAGCCATTCGCAAGTAATGCGGTAATTAACAAATTTTATAATAATTACTATGTATATTGACGTTTCCACATACCATTCAAATTTACGACGACAAACTGATTTAAAGAAAAAAAATCTGGTAGCCTACACTTAACTTAGCAGTTATTGTAGTTTGATATTGATATGATGAGAGTTTAATTATTTGAATCGGTTCTAAAACATGCAATAGAGCTAAAAAGAGAAGTCTGGCACTATGAAGCAAAATCCAGTTTTCACCATGAAGTGCAATAATTGAAATACCCACGATATGTCATTCTTAAATCCATTGCGAAAACCAACCACAAACTGCACAAAATTCCACATTACTTATGGAGAATTCAATTATTACATGCAAAAATATCTATATCTTGTATCAATTGAGTTCGAGAAGTACTGTTTATTTATTTATTTAAAAATAAGCACACCAACAATACAATCACCTAATGTTTTACATGTTGTTCTAATAGACACACTTAGTGCGATATGGTAAGGGTTACGTTATATATGTATACATGATCAAATTAGAAATGAGATTCGCAAACGAACAAAATTCGTCGATATAGCCCAGCGGATTAGCAAACTGTAGTAGCCGTGGGCAGAGTGGTAGTCGGTAGCAGTCAGTTCTCCGACAGCTGCCGACTGCGATTCTGCCTGCCTGAGGAGGGAAGGATCTCGAATTAAAGTCACGCAGAATGAACTCCTACAACAACAAAGGAAACTCAAGGAAGGCGGACGACCTAATTAAGGTTGCAAGGAGTCGCTAGTTGCTTTTAAGCGGAGGTCTGGACATTATTGCCGGAGGCCTATGTTCAGCAGCGGACATCTTGAGTCATCTCATCTCTCATCGAAGTAGGAGCAATAAACAAAAGTAAATTAAAAAGAAATAGACATAAGACTAGTGAATAAAAAAATCCATCGCAATTATGATACACAATAGACGTGTTTCATCAATACTCATTTAGATGGAAGCATAAAGGAAGTTAAAACTCGTTTTATCTATGTACATAATTACGTAAATATAAATCCCGAGGTTAACTTCCTACGCAAACTACGAGAGTCAATCAACTGTAAGAATGAAGTGACTGCCATTGGTATTGGGTTTAGGGCAATTTGAGTACCTGTGTTTTGCAAAACGTATATCATACACATGCCATTAACATAAAACTTTAAAATATGATACTTCAGCTAAAGATTTTAATAATGTCTCGTGTTAAATAGTGTAACTATTCTCATTTTTTATGATAATATTAAATTGGCCAATATCCATTATTGCAGAATGTGTTAGGTATAGATTTATTGCGTGCATATAAACCTCACAAATATTACAAAACTAGCGGCCTACCCCCGCTTCGTACGGTTCCAGTCCAACTATCTCGCTAACAACGAAAGGATCCCTTTTGCCCAATTTTCCTCTCTACTTTTCTAACATTTTCTTTCATAAAACCTTCTCCTTGCAATAATAAAAACAAAACAGAAGGATTTGTCAAAATTAGTCCAGGAGTTTTTGAGTTATGCACTTTGCGATTCATTTTTATATAGTACAGTCTACACATTTATTAAGCGACTTTTATTTTCGGAGCAGAGCAATTGTAACAAAACGTAATTATGGATTTAACATAAACCATATAATTTGCAACAGTAGCTAGTGTCTCTATCCTGAGTCATATTTATTTTATTACCTGCACACCAAATAACTGCAGACTGTAGGTATCTTACAAAGTAAAGAATATGTGTATGCGAGTGGGTATGCCATAAAAATCAGTAGGTGTGCCAAACATTACGAAGTTCGTAAATATTTACTATTCCGTATATTTAAATATCTGTATAGACATAATTAACACGGCATACAAGGATCGGTACAAAAATAAAAAAATACTGATACCGGTAGGATATACACGCATGCTTAAGTATTAAAACGTTTAATTACATAAATAACGAGTTACTTTTATATCGTTAAAATAAGTAGATAAAGTAGCGTAAAATAATTGTAATGTGCATTTTTATCAGCTTTATGTGGTATGCGACTGTGTGACTGGGACCAGCGCAAACATTTCCGTGCACCGTTGCAGTTAAATTTAAAGCGACCATTTATTCAAATTACGAATAGAGATGTGCAGCCACAAATTGTATTTATTACCCGCCTAGAAGCACCTTTAGATACTAAGCGAAACTTCAGCTGTTCAACCTTAGCTCTTGCTAGTTCGATACCTCAGTTTTAACATTTTCATTACAAAAAAGGTCTTGTATTTTATTGTAATATATCCTTTTTCCAGTCAGTGCGAGCTATATTTAGATATATATTTACCTATTTTAAATATTTTTCCTTTATCAACTCATGCTTGTTACCTAAAGCTAATTAATGACATCAATATTATAGAAATGTACCAAAATAACTTACTATAAACTTATTACCTAAGTACTTAAAATTTAAATCCATTTTTCCTGATTATAAGCACAAACATTTGGGTTTCCCATTTATGTTTTTTCTGTCGTAAACATTATTTAAATGTGTTATTACATATTACATCATATAGGTAATATACCTATA